CAGCTCACTTTGTGTAGTGTTACTTGTCGATTTTTCGACACGCAGACATCGTTTACGGCGAAGGCTCTATGACTGACTGAATCGGATTGAACTGGATCGAGTTAGGTATCGTTCTTTCTGTTATATTCTAAGCTTTCTCCAGAGGTCTGTCTCAGCGCTGTATGTTCTCCGAGCCGATCGTAATTGTAGCAGACAGCTGACGTGCGTGTATTTGTAAACAGCTAGGTTACCCTCGGACCGATGACTGATGTGTTTTATTACGTTTATCATTGTTTTAGTTTTAAAAATCAAAAGTAGTGATATACGTGGTGCATTATAAGAAGATTTAAGTGGTTTTGAAGTGCTGGTTGATGATCCTGAAGAAGTAGGTAGTGATATTGATGTAAATTATCAGCCAGATTCCTAGCTATGGTTAGGCTATGCATTTTTAGCTAAACGCTATGTACTGAAATCTGTTTTTTGCCCATAACTTATTTATTTGCAAATCTACTTCCTTATATTATTATATATTTGTAACCCTCATAAAATTGAGAACAAAGTGGCTATTTTCAAATATTTATAGGCCTATAATTTATACAATTTCATTGAGCGCAAACTAATTTTTTTTTTCAATTTTTCCAAAATAATTTTTTTTTTACCTAAAAAATTTTTTTGAAACAAATATTCCTTATGTTTTATGTATGATATTGAAGCCCATGATTTTTCAAACAAAATGGTATATAGAACATTAGAATTAACATTGTTTTAAGCTTCTCAGATCCGTTTTAATAAAACCTTGCAAATGCGCCAAAAATAGGTGGACATTAAGGCCTAAACTATGGACACTTGGAGGGTTAAACTACCAAGTGCTCTACCTTCACTTGTGTAGTAGGTTGTTTAAACTAATGTGTTTGTCTAGGTGTACATGTATGTTGCTGACAAGCGCATCGTCGGTTTTGTCGCCACTGCTCCATTGTCACTGGCGTATCGCATGGAAGGCTCTGAGAATGACGTAGACTTGTGTTCCGAGCAGACATTCCCTGTCAAATGTGGCATCAGCAGAATGTGGACAATGTACAGTCAAAGGCGACGAGGCATTGCTTCAAAGATGATCGACACTGTGCGGTAAGTGAGCCAAAATAAATATATCATGGAATATGAACAATAACATAGGAATTGATTAGTGCTGTGGTTTCAAAATGATGATTTATAGCAATCACAAGTACTTAAATAAGGTTTTTGAGAGGGATAGAGTTCATCTAGCTTACCTGGTAAAATCAGAGTCCAGTGGCCGATTGATACAGAAATAAATGATCACAAAGACAAACATAATGCTGATATCTTTTTTAATATTAGCGAATTTCCCATATAGGGAATAAGCTATTACCGTAGTACTCATAGTAAGACCTGGACCCGGGACCGATTTAATTTTTCATTTTGAGGTCCCTAGAGGCCAAAAACACCATCCGTTCAAATTCATATGTATATATATGTGTCCGTTAGCGTGATAACTCGAGCAAAAATGATCCGATTTTGATGAAATTTGGTACAAACAAGTAAACCTACGTTTATTCGAGCGAGTTCGCGATCCAGCATAATTGGACCATGCGAACGGGGTTTTATGGGGTAAAAATGGGATTTTCCCATTTTTGACCCTAAAAACAAAAAATTTTGCAATTTCTTATTAAACCGTTTTGTAGAGCTTAAAAAAATAAATAATTTAGTATATTGAAGCGCTGTTGTATGCCTAACGGTCACGGAGAAAATTAAAAAATAGTGTAATTTAAAATTCCCATGTTATTCTTATGGAGAAAATGAAAATTGTTGTAGTTTACTTCTATATTGATAAAATTTGGCAAATTGATTTATTTCATCCTATACTATTGACGTATGGTCAATAAATATGTCTTATTTATGGAAATATTTTAGTAAAAATATAATCAGACAAGTTGTAATTCGCTTAGTCTGCAGGTTTGCTGCGGCTGAGGTATTGGACTTCTTCCAGTAACTAAGAGGGTGTTATTCAGAAATATCCAGAACTATTCAGAAAGTAAGGAACGTTTCCGTCGACTTCACTAGGAGTTTCTTAAATTATAACACAGTTTTTCCATTTATGATGTAGATTAAACAATCTACTCTCTGAGGAAGTCATAATTTAGGAATGAAATATCAGTGTTATGTTCTGTGAAAGTGTGCAATCGGTGCTACCCTCCTAGCTACAACAAACACGAATACGTTCATTACTTTCTGAATACCCCTCATATAACACCCTATTTGTTACTTCCACAACTCTTAGAAGATTTTTTAAAGCAATTATTCAATTTGATCAATATTTCCATCAAATACTACAACCACCAACAGAAGCAAAGTTTTGTGAGTGGTTATTGTTTTGAGTATGACATTAATGTTTTTCCAGACGAAACTTCATGTACGGCTACATCCTGCGCAGAGAAGATTTGGCATTTTCCATCCCTACTCCTGATGGCAAAAAGTTCGCAGCCAACTATATGGATTCACCGAATTACTTTGTATACACAGGTTTTAATTTCTAAGCTTATTGTAGATTTATAAATGCTCATTTCAGTAAATTTTAGCAGTAGACAGTAGCCAATTAATTTTTGAGCTGACCTAATTTTCTAAGTAAATTCCTACAACAGTGAAAATAAATATTTTGTAATTTAACAAATAGTAATATTTAGCAATTGGTTAGTGATTTCAAAATTCCGGGTAACTGCTGGTAATAGTTATAGTTATCTTGTTTGTCATAATGTAGTGTGATTTTAATTAATTAATGGACCTTTTCCGTTAATTCAATACCACTACTTTTTTTATTGCAATTCTGTTTATTTTCACTACCAAAATTTTTTCATAATCAGCAAGTTTGGTTGGTTAGGTTAGTTTAGAAAGAATAGTTTCATTTTATAATTGATATATTCATAGACTAGGCTAACTGTTAACAATATCAGTATTGCAATAAAAAAAGTAGTGGTAGTGAATTGACGGAAAATAACCTAGTTAATTTTTTGAGAGAGTTCTTGTGTGGAAATGTGTTAACTATTTAAATTGTTTTGGTGAATTTGGTAAAGTTGTTTATCTTGATTGTGTAATTACTTGTGTTGATTTTAACGATATAGCCATTGATTAAATTATAAAATTAGCTAGTAGACAAAAACAGTAAAACTTGCAATAATTACTGGAAGTGCAGGAGTGCAGGTGTCCTCTAGTAGTAGGGGAAGCTTTTTGAAATTGGCTTAGGAGTCTTCATATGTGCCTTCACTGCCTTCTATATGGTATGGTATATTTGAAGTTCTTGTTAAGTTAATAACATTTCCATTCCTGAGGTCTTTCTAAGGGCCAGTAAAAAAAATATTTAGATATAAATGTTCTAACTTGTATTTTGTATAGGCCCTCCCTCCGATTATACTAACCGTTAGCATAGTAATGTTATACATAGTTCAACTGCTTTAAGTTTTTTCATAAGGATTTATGAAAATGTTGGATGGTGAATGTAATTAAAATTAATAATGTGACATATTGACTTTTCACTATTTTAAAATAGCTACGACAGTTTTTTTTTTTCAAAGATGGAAATTTCTAAGGTACAAAGAAAGTTTGTGTGTTTAAGTACAAAATGTAAAAGGCTTATTTTATTATTAGTTGTAGTTATTACAGTATATTGAAGCAGTAGAGCTAAACAAGTGGTTATGGTAATAATTTATCAATAAATTTTTAAATACCGTACGTGTATTTTCAAACTTTAGAATAAATACATTTGACATCTACTATTAAAAGTAAGGAAGCAACAGTAAAACGAACATGTAAATTGTTGAAGGTTTATTCAGGTTTTCTGTATTACATGATATATTTCAATGTATTTAGTTCTATGTGTTCTAGTAAGACTTGATTCATTATATTGTGCTTTATTGGTGGTTGTATGTTAATTTTTCTTTGACTAATAAACTTAAAAAAACACCATTCGCGTCTGATTTTCTTTATCCTTAAGGAGGTATTTTTAGTGAAATAGTGAGGAAACAAACTACTGTAAGTAGTTAGATGAACATCTGGTCAAGTTTGACTAGAACTGTACCATAATTTGTCACATAAAGGATAGAAAAATCTTCATTTTGTCTGATAATAAATAATGATATTGGGCACCTTTAAAAGGTACTAGAAAATTAACTTCGCAAAATACAACTTAACTTTACCAGAATTTGTCACATACAGAATAGAGAAATCTTAATTTTGTCTGGTAATAAATAATGATATTGGGGCACCTTTATAAGGTTGTAGAAAATTCACTTCGCAAAATACAACTAATCTACCAGAATATATTGTTTTTTTAGTTCAGAAATTATAAATTTAAGTAGGTAGGCAATTTTTCATCCTGAAAGCCTCAGTAGTCTTAATTTCAAAGTTTAAGTAACCCTTGTTTTTCAAATAATCTTTTTCACATCAAACACAATTTTCAAAAAATTAAATCCTTTCATTCCTTTCCTATGCATATGTCCTTTGTAATAGCACAGTCGGGAGATTCATCTTCGTCTGATGGATGACATTAAAGAGGGAAAAACTAGTGGGCACCAGTGAGAAACAACCTCTCCAACTTATTTAAGTTGCAACTCGACATTTTTTTTACTCATTGTTTTTAATTTTGGTTTCCAATGAGGCTGTGGAAACTTTATAACCAACTCAAATCACATAAAATAGGCAACACAGAAAGTTATTCATAAATTATTTTGAAACTTGTTAGAATGTTTTATTACTGAGATGTACTTTTCAATTTATAAAAGTTCAAACATACAAAACAAGATGATTGCTATAATTCACAAAAGCGTAAAATGACTAAAATAAACTCTGTGTAACAGCAGACTATTCTTATGAATTAGGCCTAGAAAAAAAATGTTCAATTTAAAGTTACAACTAGGCCTAATCCAAAAAAAGTTCAATTAAAAATGTGACTTTCCAAATTAATTTAAAAGGTAACTTATTCTAACAGGTTAAAAAATAACAAGTTTATAATATAACTTATACTTGTTTAATAAAATACTTTAATATACATAAGAAACTCATATAGGTACTTTAAGGTTAAATTCACGACGAAATATAAAAATGTAGTTAAATAAATAGTTGGAAATACATTTCACTGGCCAGGCCCCGACAGAGACTTGTCCATAAACTTCTTCTTTGAGAAGCACAGCCACCATTTGGAAGGTCTGCCGTCTTCAGTGCTGAATACCTTCTCACACACACGCACTCCAGCTTCTTGCCTTAGTTGCTGAAGATACTGTCGCATCACATCTGAGGAAACAAACTGGTTAATACTGTCGTAATGCAGATGTGCTTGCAATCAAATAAATCCCAGATGGGATGTGTGGCTGGGACTAGGGATGAGCATCGATAGGTGAACCATTGATGTACTGATAACATCGTCGTGAAAACACTTGATTTCAGGGCAAAACCTGGATAATTGTATTTTGAGTTTTTCGTCTTCTTTATGCCAAAGCTAACCTAGCTACTAGTTAGAACGTTCCAGATTGGCAGGTTCTCTTTAACTTCGGATTCAATATTTCATCAGCATTTCAATAAAAAGAATAAAAAATTCAATTTCATGTTAACAAACGTTCAAATTTTCATTAAAATTAATACAATTCAGGAACAGCAAAAATATTGATATTTCGACAGTTGGCCAAAAACATCGGTTACCTACTAAGAAACTTTCATGGAAAAAATTGATCGATGCTCATTCCTAGCTGGGACGTCCCACTACTTTAAATACCGTTACATGGGGAACATACCTGAGACTGATCCCGTTGGATAATAAAACTCAACTCAGGGTATATAGCTATAAGAATAGTCGCTCTCAATGATGCTCACACTCAGCACACAGCTGTAGCAGTTAAAGGATTGATTAAATTAGGACTTTTGATTGCCTGAAGTCATTTAATGATTTCACTTCCTATGGATAGTCTATGAATAATTACAAAGATGGCAGTAAAACTTGTGTGGTGATTATAAATTAGTGCAACAGCTGTTTCGTTTTGACGGGACAACTGTGTTGCCACTTTTGTCTCGTTGCAGCCTTGTGTTGGAGGAGGCTATGATTAACAGTATATCGACCAGCTGTATCCAATATTTAATTAAAATCGAACATAGTTGAATACAACATCCTATCAACATATTGTCTTATATTCAACACATTTGATCTTGTCTAGGGTCAAAGAGTGTTACTACTGTCAAATTATATGTTTCAATCAAGTTTTTAATACTTCGATAGTTGAAGTAAAAGTCCCAACTTCGAAGGTTAGGATTGGTAAAGACGAAGATCATGGCCATGTACCTTAAGTTGTTTTCATTTATGTCTTTGTAAATATTTATATGTGTTCAATCTTTGTAAAAATTGTACCAAATCGTCAATATCTCAAGTAAGACATGGCAAACAAGAAGTTTAGCTAGCCTATGAGACAAAGGACTGACGATAACATTTCGACGTAGAAACCTAAGTCTCCGCTATAAAAATAAATTGGACCACAAGGTAAGCCTTAGATTTATTTATGTTCAATAACGATCCAGAGGCTATATCTCCAAACAAAAAAATTCCCTAATAAATCTGGTTGTACAAAAATAAATTGGTTGTTGATCAGTCACGGTTCAAATCAAACGTTAATTTCATTTTTTAACTGGCTATACTTTATGTAAATGGAATGTCCAATTTTCTCCAAAGCCTTAACCTATGACTGGCAAAATACAACTTTTAGTAAAGGAAAGCAAATAATTATCACCTGCTTCAGTAGGACTGCTCGGCTTGGCATACACCGAGTTGAGTGGGAAATTGGACTCTCCAGGGATGTCAAACTTTGATATTGCCAAGGCATACATCTCCTGTGTGCCTTGGTTCTTGTTGCTGCATTTCTGCAGCCGTTTGAGACACTCGGTGAAGTAGAGAGTCAGGTAAATGAGCACTCGGTCCGACTCGTTCTAGGTTGAGCAAAAACGTTAATGGAGATACAGGTATCTTAAATGCTCAGGTATAAAATAGTACATGACAATTTTGTTATCAAAAGATTAGTTTGATGACTTGAATTACAGTACAAACTAGTTAACTTAACCTATAAAAATCATCACAGTTTTGTGCTTTGACAAATTTCGGTACTTACGTATTAAACGGAGGCCACCTAACCTACAGATTCGATTCGATTAGTAAATCTTCACCATCAGCAAGTTTGGTTGGTTAGGTTAGGTTAAGATAGTTTAATTTGATAAAAAAACATATATTTATGATAACCCAACCTAACATAACCGCTGCAGCGCGCTGTAAAATATGTGGCCTCCGTTTAATACGTAAGTACCCAAATTTCGTAGGCCTATAGTAACTTAATCATATAGCCTGGCAACAAAAAGGAAATTGACTACCGGTAGCTCATTCCAATCAGGATTTGACAATTCAATCAGGGGACATTTAGGTGGATTCAGGTTCAAGTTTGCCATGGAAATTTGTATACTTATTGTTGTCTTTACTTTTAAAAGTAAGGAGTTTTATTGGCGATTATGAAATGAAATGTTCTGCATGATGTTTGTGCATGTTTTTATTTCATTATTATGGACTGGCTATTGTACGTCAAGAGGACCCAAGAGGATTATAATTTGTGACCTAGCCTATTACTTAAATGTTGAATGGCCCAATACAATTTTGATTTTGAATTTTTTTTTTATTTTGAAATGAAAATCCTTTATTTCAACAGGCATCAAAGTTAGGGCCACATGGCCCTTTCATACACTTCACCTGCATACATAATTATACTCATCAATATATACATCAATACTTTTCTGATAAATAATTATTACCTGGGATAAGTGTGGAAGTTCTTTGTCCTCACTGTCAGGCAATGGTTACCGGTATCCCAAAAACCATGTACTAAGTAAGTTGATGAGACAGAATTTTGTGAGATGATAAGAGGTGAAAGAAAGTACACTAGGCCTATATGAAATTAATTGTACCTTGATCTCGTAAGTCCTAAAGAAGACATTTGCTTTGAAGTAATAGAGTGCTTCATCTATGATGTCTGTGTCCTTACTCGCCATGATGGGAGCAGGACCCCGGAACTGGGTTTTAATGGGTAGAATAGCCATGTTTCCTACCAAATTCTCATAAGTAGTAAAGCTTGAATGATAAGCCTGAAAAAAACAGAGATTTCAAGTAATGTAGACCTAATGCACAATAAGCTTCGGTTGACGTGCTTGGACCTTGAGTCCACCCTCACACAATCAATCAATCAATGTAGACCTATAACAAATGGCTACAGATACATATGAAATCCAATTAAACAAGAGCCTCTGTTTTAACATTATAGTGTGATTGTTGACGGAAAGCGGCTGGCTGAAGGGTCGACCCTACTCACACACACGCAGGCCTCACACACACAGACGCAAGGGATTAGGACAGACGTGGGACGGACCATTTTCCTGCCGCGCGAGTCATCGCTGGCTCACGGAAATTAAACTAACAATTTTTTTAATTTTACGTTTGTTATAAAATCTGGTACCGTAACGCTTTTGACTTCAGCTCAAAATGCTTAGTAAAATGATACCAAACAATATATGTTTTGCTTACAAAGTGTAAAAGCTACTAATATTTTAACACGTTTTTATTAGCTAGCTACTTGTCATAACCATTTCGTGTTTGGACTCATTTTTCATTGAATTAAACAACAAATTCACTAACACTAACCATTTTACTGTATATCTAAAATCAAATGAATTGCAATTTTGAGGTATCATACAACAGATGTTATATTTCTACTTAGTGAATAGGGGATCGGGGCTTTCAGGCAATTAGGACGGTGGTGAGTGTGCGTGCGTGAGTCGGGTCCCTCGCAGGTAGGGCTGAGCTCCAGCCGCACTCCGGTAAAAATCAGACTATAATTTATACCGTCATAAGTAACCTAACCTAAGTTAACTAACCAAACTTGCTGATAATGAACAAATCAAATGAAGGCTTAACTTAATAAATGAATCGATAGCTTCAATCAATATTAGGCCTAGCGTTTCCCAGTTAAGAATCTGTACCCGACTGTAATGCTGTAGTTAGGCCTAGGTTATATTAAGTTAGTGGGGTACAGTTTCTTAACTGGGCTATGCTAATATCGATTGAAACTATCAATTTGATTAGTAACTTAAACCTTCAAGCGATTTTTTCACCATCAGCAAGTTTGGTTGGTTAGGTTATGATAGTTTAATTTTATAATAGATATATTTAAAAAAATCAATAATTGATCAATATCTTCAATTCGATAGTTTCAATCGATATTAGCATAGCCCACTTAAGAAACTGTACCCTATTAGTGTAGTTTATGATAACAAACAAGGTAAGTTAGGCTAACATTTTATAAATCCTTATCGTGGGCTATATCCTAGACGGGCAAAGAAATTAAAATTTTAACTACTTACCGGCATGGTCAAAAATTATTTTTGTGTTTTACCAATCCGAAATTTATAACAACTACAACAGAGTTAAATTGATTTTAAATGAAATTTGTAATAGTTGGTTCACACCCACAAAGACGAACATAACCTCTCTCCAGTCTCCGCCCGCTCCAGTGTTGCCACCGTGTTGTTGCGATTTTACCCTAAAGGCGGGCTAAAATTACCCTAAATTACCCTAAATCTACTTTGAGTTACCCTAAAAATTACCCTCAATGTTAATATTTGCGTTTAATGCTATAAAACATTGTTAAAATCATATAAATCTTACATAAGGTGGTTAATTATAACATAGATAAAACATACTCCCTTAGATTATACTAAATGAAGTTCCAATATCAATCAATTTACGTAAAATTATACTCGATTCTAAAAAAAACACCCGAAAGAAGAACAAAATGTTGATATTGATCAGCTCTATAACGAAAAATATCGAATCAAGAACTATCGTATTTTTTACTGTATCGACCCATTACTACTGTTTTTGGACAATCATATCTTTAAAATACAGTACGGTACCACCAAAGCTTTAATCTATACGTAGTAGTAATTTCTTGACACAATTTGTAAAATAATCCAGTTTAATTCAATTTAATCACATAATTAAATATCAAACCCAGTAATGAATAATATTTCATATTTTATTAGGCCTATAACGTGTTATAGAATCGAATACATTCAAAACAGATAATTTTTCCAACTATTGAAGATCGATTAGGATAATTTGATGAACAATTCATAATAGCAATCGATTGAAACCGGTTGAATCGAATATGATGGTTTGGCAATAGTGTGTAATGAACGTTTTTTGCCAAATTTTAAAGTTTTTTCATGTTTTTAGTAAAATTTCCATTGTTATGCCAACTTTTAGTTTTACCCTAAAATTACCCTAAATCTACCATTACCCTAAACTTTACCCTAAGACCAGTAAATTACCCTAAAAAAGGGTAATTACCCTAAAAGTGGCAACACTGGCCCGCTCCCAAAAAAACAAATAACTATGTATCTGAAACTAAAATGTGATTATCTGAATCCACGTCTGAATCACCTCGGATCGGAACGGAATCGGAATCTCTTCGGTGCTCGGACTCAGTTTTGTTTCAATTCGGCGGGGGTATTTGTATCTGAAATTATGATTGGTTGGTGTCGGTCCCTCCAGTCAGTCCAGTTCTGTTCATGTTCTCCCCTTCAACTTCATGCCTTTATCCAATATCCATCCAAATCCAGCTATTCCCATTCCAATTCCAATTTCCACTTTCGTGCCGGCCTTCCGGCGAATTGTGAATTTTGCAGTCAATTTTATTATTCTATTTTAGAAATAGTATTATATTTTATTTGCACAACTTGCAAACTTATTGCTGTGAATTCTGTAAACCAACCAGTTATTCGTCTCTTTTTGACATTAGTTAGTTAACCTCATTTAATTATTATTTTTATTTGTAGCCTAGTTAAAACAAGAGGAATAGGCCTAGGCTAACTCATTTAACCTTTGAATCAAGTAAGTAGCCTAACTAAGTTCATTAACCTGTTAACTTTTATGATTTACCTCCATTCTCCACTCCTTTTCATTCTACACCTTAGTCTTGGTAACAAATTAGTTGACAAAACTTTGATAGGCATAAGTTAGCTGCTGACTACATCATAGCCTATAAACGATCAAACATAAAAGTAAGGTACCGGTATGCCTATCAATTCAATGGATAAGTTAACCAAACTTAGCCTTACCAAAAAATACAACTTCTACAACCTAGCCTATCCATTTTAACAGTTATTAATTAACTTGGGCCCTACAATAAAGTCAGGTAATATATTAATTCTGCCAATTAAGTTAGTTAAATGTAGCCTACCATAACAATGGTTCTATCAATTTAAGTAGACCTAGTCACTAAACTTAGTAGGTCTAGAACCATAGACAAATTGAATAAATATAGACTTTCAAAGGAAAGTTCTGGTGCCCACCGCTAGGAGTGCCGTTTAGTTACGGCGCACACCGCTGCAGGTGAGGAGCGCAGGAGCCGTATGCGACCAGCAGATGCTGCAGCGGTGTACGCCGTAACTACACGGTAAACCTAGTGGTGCACGCCAGAATTAATGCTAAGTAACCGCAGCACAGCTGACGGTCAATATTTATTCTATTTGTCTATGTTATAACCTAAGGCCTACTTACACCGTTTGGTTTAATTTACTTGATACGGATGGGTTTGGATTAGGCCAAACTTTGAAAGCTTAAGTTACTTTAATTTGATTGTTACAATCGATGGTACTAGGGTAGTGCATTAGGCTACCAAGTCAATGGAAATGTTTGGTCTTTGATTAAGCTACTTAATACTACTTAATCCAAAACGCAGTATATGCTCACGGGTATTGCCGCCATCGTGGGAGACGATTATCGGTGTCGCCGAAACCGCAATATAGTCACGGGTGTTGCCGCGATCAGTTGCGGGTTTTGACGAGACTGTAAGATAGGCCTATGCTCACCAGTATTCCTACGATCACGGGAGATGATAACTGGTGTCGCCTTTCCTACCAGTTATACTGTTTTATTATATTGTATAAAATATTATTCTTTGGAAAAGTTTTGTTTCAAATAAAAATAATTAATAATTATTAGCGGGTTGCGATTAGTTGAGCGGGTTCTGATAATAGCTCTTAAAATTCAGGAATTTGTCTTGAATTCTCCTGGAAAACTCCTTGAATTTTTCAAACCAGGTTTAGTAGACACCATGACGTAGAATTCTAAAAATTTTATCACTTGACTTAAGAAGTCTAGGTAACTATAATAGGGCATTGACATTGTTTAAAAACAATTATAGGCTAGGCCTAGGCCCTAAGTGCAAAGCCATGAGGAATTGCTCAATACGCAGGAAAGTAAGACTGGTAAATGCAATTTAGCAAGTTACCGAGTAACCACTGACTGAGTAAATCTCACTAAATTAGTAGGCCTAGTCTATGAGTCTTTGAATGATACCGCACATGGTTTGTTAAACATAGGTTACATCGCATAACTTATGGGTTAACATGAATCAATGCAACTTCTGAATATGTCTATTATTAATAAAGCTGTTTGATTTCAATAGCATTTTCAACAAGAGCATTATCTTCCAAATATCAGCAGTGATCAGCAGTTCAACTTGTATCTAATCACTCTATTATTTCTACAGGTACGCCTGTAAGTTTAAATAGTTATAATGGCAGACGATGGCTGGGATTCTGGTGGTGAAAGCTCACAATCTGCACCTGTCTATTCAACAACCTTCTCAAGAGGGGGTGGTAGAGGTGGGCGTGGAAGATTCAACTCTGATGATGGTAACCGTAACAACTGGAGGGATGACAACAGGGAAGAGAGGGGTGGGTGGGGGAATGACTTCAGAGGTGGACGTGGAGGAAGAGGCTCACGAGGAGGAGGAGGAAGAGGTAAACATTTAAGACTTTCAAATTTTTTTTAGAACTGCGACACTAGGTTTTTAGGTCAACAACATCATTGTAATCTTATCATGTCAGTTCTTACACATCCATAGTGTGTCTTCTTCTGCATCTTGTTCCATACCTACCGTATGTCATTTCTTATGTATTTTTTTGTAAAATGGTGTTTGTCGTTGAAAGAAATTACAGACTCTGGGAATTTAAATTCTGAAACCCAAAACTCTTGCAGATTGCTAAAAGCAGCTCTATGTCTCCCTGAAGTCAGATAACAGGTAGAAAATAGAATTTTAGACACTAGCACATTCTGTGGCTGGCTCACATAATTATGTTCTTTTTTTAATTAAAATTAGCAACCTGGTCCATATACCTAGATGGAATGTCTAGCGTGATTAAAACGTGCATAGCGAATGGACCTCTAGGTCCTGACCTAGTGGAACCCAGGTGGAGTGACGCTTAAACAAGCAGCCGGAATCCCTGGTTAGGATTGAGGGGCAACCCTCCTTCCGAAGGGTCTGCTTCGGCAGCCGGCGAGCCTGATGACCTTAAGTCATCCGCCCATGATGTGCTAAAGGTTGATGCGTAAGCTTCGGCCTACATCATGGGGCCCGGGTATGTCCTAACGGATAGGTACCGGGTATGCAGTCAGGGGGCTTCGGCTCTCATGACAAATAAATAAAATAAAAAAAAAATAAAAATAGCGAATAAGGCTATATACACTAGTTTGAATGAAGAGTTATGAATCAAAATAATTTCATTTAGAATTTACCACTATACTCTTTAATTACTTAAATTTTGTTCACTGTAGGTAACATTGTAAAATGATCAAGAACTAGTTTAAAATGGTTTAGCAAATAAAATTACTTTAACAAAAACGCACAATTATTTTAATTCTTCGCCATTTTGTTCTGATTGGTTGGAATCAAGTGGGACTCGAGGAGTTTTTAGGTGGGGTGAGTTAGGCCTACTTATGTTTTTGTTCCAGCTGTGAAATTTCATGTTTGTGCTCGGTGTGTTTGGTTCTAGTATTATAATGAACAAAGCAACATCTTTATGGGACACCCTTTATTGTACATACAATTTTATATAGTAGGCCTAGTATTCATATTACAAGATAGGTCCAAAAAAAGAAATCTGTTCATGATAAAACATGTTTCAGGTAGGGATGGAGAGGGATTTAACAGAGGTCGAAATGATAATTGTATAACTATGACCATCAGTTCGTCCGATGTTGGTAGAATTATTGGAAAAGGAGGATCCAAAATAAGAGATTTGGAAGCTGAGTCTGGAGCAGAAATTAAGGTATTTTTTGTTTGAACAGTTAGTTTTAGAATTTAATTGTTTACAATTCCTAAACAATCTTTTAAGTACCCTATTGATGAATCAAGGTACAGTCTAACCTCAATATAAGAAATCTTAAGTCGTAAACAAACATCTAAAAAAAATGGTATGTGCTCCTAACCAATTACCACGATAGCGGCAAAGTTATTGCCCAATAACTGATAACCAGAAACTGACTTTTTATGTCAATCCTCGGTTTTGTTTTTTTCTTCTAAATTCTGGTACAACCGACACATCCATAATTTTCATCAAAGGAACGTGGGGGGTTTGTTATATCGAGAGAGAAAAAAAGAGACAATTGGATAGGTAGGGTAAAATCCCTTATAAGGTTCTGATAATGATTAATTTTCTATATTGAGCTGACTTAAGCCCCGTTCACACGGGGCGAGTTTACAAGCTACACGCTGGCTTTTTTACAAGCAGCTAGTAAAATAGCTCAGTGTGAACGACGTACTCGCTCAAAAGCTGCTTGTTAAAAAGCTCTGGGAAAAGTTGACGATGCCGCTACTTTACACGTCAACTCGCTAGCTTTTGAGCGAGTAGGCGTGTAAAGTAGCCCAGTGTGAACACAGTTGCTTGTGCTTGTGCGCTGATGTCGGAGGATTTGGTTCAAGCTAGCTACTGAGCGAGTGGAAAAAGCATCGTGTGAACGACTAAAAGCACACTCGCCGGCGTCTTACTACACGTCGGCGAGTTGGCAAGTGGACAAGCTCCGTGTGAACAAATACAAGCACACTCGCCAACTCGCCGGCTTCCTACACGCTGGCGAGTAGCTTGTAAACTCGCCCCGTGTGAACGGGGCTTTACATTAGCCGTGGTCGTCAAAAATTTGTTAAATCACGGATGTTGATGTTTTTTTTATATGTGAATGTGAAATATACATTATTGTGTCTAATGGAGATTTCCAGGGAATTAAACAAATTTTTATGGTAAGAAATTCCTTATATTGAGGTTCTTTATATCGAGGTTAGACTGCATTTCTTAGTAGCTCTGAGTATCAAATAAGTATTATAACATTTCTATTGGTAGTCAGCTCAGTTGAGCCATTGTAGTCAGTAAAAAAGTTATTAAAATGTCTATGACTCATTCCATTTTATTTAGTATTTTAAATGTAGCTCAAGCAATTATTAAAATTTTTGAAACTATTAGAAGTGTTGAAATTTTGTTATAATATTTTGTTGTCATTATAAAGTTGTGTTTTGGTTGAATGTTAACGTGTGTTTTCATATAGAAACAAAGCAATATGTGTGAGTGTCAAAAAGTAGCCGTTTTCACAGTGACGATTCTTGCAAAATAAATTCAAATCAGACTCCAACCATATTTAAAAAAAACAGGTTTTTCTTTAAATCCTGATATAGGTACAGGTTTGTAAAAATCTGACGATCTTCTATCACTTTCATGCCTCATAGTTTGATACTATTTCCAGATTGAGAAAAACAACGGTGCAGATGAAACTCAGATAACACTGCGAGGTTCTGCTGAGAGTCAGGAGAAGGCAAAAGAATTGATAGATGACCTGGTGTGTGATGTGGAGGGGTGGGGTCCAGGGGGAAAGCCAGGCATGAGGGGAAGAGGAGGGAGGGGCGGCAGACGAGGGAACGACAGAAGTCACAGCAACATCCCTATCAAACGGAGAGAACTGGATGACATGGAACCTCCAAACATAGACTGGGACCAAGTCAACAGAGCTTATGTAAGTATACATAGTGTCTAACGATTGTGAAAGTCACTGAACTCTTCATCGGTGACTTGGATTTTTAAATTGTATTAGGTTCCAAAAAACCTTAAGAGACAATATGTGGATTTAATTTTTACATCCACTGTAGTAGCTGGATCTTTTTAACATATATTTCTGTATTTAATTTTCAAATATACCTAATAAGGGGTGCCCTATCACACTAATATGTGGTTATAAACCCAATTAGATCTTCAATTGATAATATTTTTCTGGTTTTGAACTCATTTATGCACACCTCTCCTTAATATTTTTTTAAAATATGAAGCTATAGGCCTAATTTTTTTTCTTATTCTGTAGTTAAAAAGCTCCTAAAAGATAGTCTTGCTAGTGAGTCAACAACCTATTCAAACTAAAGGATTATTTCACACAATAAAAATTCTCATTCTACACTTGTTTATTACTAAACGAAATAATATTCCATGCTCATAGTAAGCAGTGATGGCTACAAATTATTTTATCTTTCTAACCTAAAAGCTGGTACAACTTGGTTAGGAATTCCGGGCTAAAGGTCTGGTTTTTTATCCCCCTCCCCACAAAATATAAACGTTACAAAGATTTTATTTAAAATATTTATCATATCTTTAATCAAGTTTTGTCCTTTTAATCACAGGAGGAGGGCCAGAAACAGAAATGGGCAAACCTTGCCCCTCTTATCAAAGAGTTTTATAAAGAAGACCCCGAAGTCAAGCATATGGACCCAGAATTTGTAGCGCAATACAGGTAGGTAACGCACTGGCAAGTAGATTTATGATGTTCATCATTATATTGCATACATTTTTCTCATTATCTAACTACTATTCATACCTATCTATGTATCGACAACCAACAAAAAAACAAACAATTTATTCAAGGGAAGGCCACGGCCTCTCTTTCTTACACCTAACCCACGATACAACATAACCATTGAGTCCATTCCAAAGTCCGAAAATGTCTTATCAACCAGCAGCATATAAGTTCTTTCTTTAACTTAAGAACTAAACTATTTGTTATTGTAATTTTGACAATCTGATTAAGTATCAATATGTTGCAAGCTGATTCCCTGCAGTTTTCCGTGTCTAACTTTTTACGATTGTACACAGGAAGAAAAAGAACAATATCGTTGTGCAGTACACATTTGGTGAGTGTGGAGAGGGCATTCCGAACCCGGTTTTGACCTTTGAGCAGGCTTTCGCCCCGTACCCCGATATCCTGGAACAGATTTACAACCAAAACTTCACGGAACCTTCGCCCATTCAGTGTCAGGCGTGGCCCATCCTGTTGAGTGGGAAAGATTTAATTGGCATCGCACAGACTGGAACAGGTACGTCGGAAATATGTCCAAGAGCTTTAATTGGCCAGTTTCATTGTACAATAAGCACTTATTAAAAGATATGACAATACACAGTCGGACCTCAATAAAAAGACCCTTGATGGCTTTATTACAAGTGTAATTTTCATTGTCCTTGATTTTATATTTTAGGAATATCATTACGCCCTTCTGTCTCTCAAGCTTCACCAACCTCTTGGACTGTTTCATATCCAAAATTAAGTTAAACGCTTTGCAAGACCAAAACAAGTCTAGTGTGTATTATTAAATATTTATTATTCTCTGCCCTGTATGCAATTTAGGTTACCCCAAACAAATGAGTCCTGGATGTAAAACAGTCAAAAATTTGATGCACAGCAATGCAAAATCAATCTGCAACACCATTGGTGTTAGTAAGTTTAGTTTTTACCAAATGACCTACTTTATAGGTAAAACCCTGGCATTCCTGTTGCCTGCGTTGATCCACATCGAGGGTCAGCCCACTCCGAGGGGAGAGCGAGGAGGGCCCAACGTCCTTATATTGGCTCCAACGAGGGAACTGGCTCAGCAGATACAAGCTGAGGCCAGCAAATACTCGTACAGGAACATAAAGTCGTAAGTAGCTCATCCAAGTCTGGAGCAAACTAGTCTAGTTGTAGAGCGTGGGTTCTGTCCCAGAGGTACCCGGTTTAAATCCAACCAATCATCAATTCATTTTATCTAAGTGGTAACACAGTGATTCTCGAAGCCTATCCTGAAGCATGGATAAAACATACTCCCTTAGTAGAGTAGTCATCCTTATGGATCAGCTGATGACAATTTTGTTGTTAGTTTCATCCGGTTCACTGCACAAGTCGTGTTTTGTTTACAATTTGTTTCTTGTTATTTCAGTCATTTATAACCTCGTTTGACCAAATAAAACGATCTAATCATATACTAATCATAAAATAACTCGTTCCCTTGTTAAATAACCGAACAGTAAAGTACAAATCATGAAATTACCCTTAAAATAATATAAACAAAATTTCGTCGACACTAGCGATCAGTGTCGCCAAATATTAACTAGACACAAGAAACAAGCTTCAAAATTTACGATGGTATGAGAAGTCTGTGTTTGTTAGTACCAACAAAACCTGTGCCTGAAGTAATGTGTAACAGTTTAAGGCTAGAACCTAGCGACCTAAGACTTTAATGTAAAGACTACACATTTTGGGTTTTTCAATTCAGTACTAGGGTTGTTATTTTATGTGGGTTGTGTTTAAGCACAGTTTCAAACATGCTTTTTTATGTACGGTAGTGTATTTTACTGTCGTGTGAATGAGGGAGAATGAAGCTGAAGTGCCTGATCGATTATTGGGTTGCAAAACCAATTTCTCACCACCGACAGCCTACACTAAAAACAGTATTTGCTTTGGGGGAGGGGGGGTTTGCTTTTTAAGGCTCTTTTGTGGGAAAAAATCTACTGTGTGTATGTAGTAGGAACTGTCTGTATGGTCTTATTTATATCTTTGAAAGGCTTAAGAAACCTTTTTACCAAACGTATATTTTATAGGTTGTGGTTGGCCTCTATACACATGAGAAGTACATAACATAACTTTTGCAAAATGTGCTCCTAATTGATGCAATTTTGGTTTGAAAAATGATAGCAACTATGTATAGATTTATATATTTCAATGATCATTTGGTTAAACGTTGGTAAATGCTTGTGTAGGATGTGCATCTACGGAGGTGGCAGTCGCCGTGACCAGATAGATCAACTGAGGAGAGGGGTGGAGATTGTAGTGGCGACCCCTGGACGTATGAATGACCTGATTGCTGCCGGTAATGTATACAAATAATTAAACATTCAAACAATTAACACTGTTCAGTAATGTGTTTGAATTACATTTAAATAGTGAACATTTCTGCTTTTAAAGTTTCTTATGGATAGGTGTATTTGTCATTTGTGTTGTTTAAAGAATTATCGCAGACAAGTAAAAAATGTACATTTTATAGTATATTTGGGAACTGGAGTCTGGCCCTAAAGTGAGAAAGCACTAGGGATGGACGGGTCCCGAAATTTCAGGGGAAATGTATTCCCAAACAGGATTATATTTGATTCAAATTTTATCAGGATGGTATTAATTTGTTCCGATCATCAGCGATTTCATCAAGTCCTGAGTGCAAAATTACGGGGGGAAAACAAGTCCCATCTCGAAATTGGAAGGGGGGGGGGGGAAATCCTGTCCCGTCCTGAACTATAAGTACAATCCCGTCCATCCCTAGAAAGCACCTGAAACATATCAAGATTAATATACTAACGTAGCCATAGTTTGGGAAGTCATGAAAGAAAAATTATATGGAGAACAAAAGTAGTAAAAATTAGAAAAAAATAGTATTTTCATTGTGTGCATTTTGTAATATCCTTTTCTATAGCCTACAGTTGATCTTATATTAGTAAAAAATACTAAAGATTGTCTTAACTACTTCTCCAAGAATAAGTTCTAAAAGGCAAGTTGAATGTGTTTATGCAAAATGTTAACTTCAAAATTTGATTTTCTCTTGTATTACTGCCTGCAGGTGATCTGAACCTTCAAGCCATCACTTATCTAGTTTTGGATGAGGCAGACCGAATGTTAGACATGGGATTTGAGCCAGAGATCCGCAAAACTCTCTTGGATATTCGTCCTGACAGACAAACTGTTATGACCAGGTGACCTTTGCTTAGTAACACACTGAAGTTAACTTCCTATAGTCTTATTTAGTTTTTTTTTTCTTTAGGCCTGACTAGTGATAATATCTAGAGCTCAAAGATAGCTTCTGTGATTATACACGTTTATTTTTATAATAGTTAAAGCTTATTCTCCTCAGAAGTTATTAGTGCTTAAAAGAAATTGTTAGTTGTACAACTGTGCTGACTAAAAATGTTTTGGGTGATTGTCAAAGATCACACTTCTGATGCTGGTATGTTTTGATTTGATCATTCCAATTTCCACAAATATTTTATTTGTTCCGGTTTACCTTTTCTAGCTGAAAATTTTACTGGCAGGTCTTCCAGAAGGTCCAAGGTTAAGAAGTTGTTTTTACTTTTTTCCTGTCATAGCTATAGCTTATTAAAATTGACGTTGCCATGTTTGTCCAGTGCTACATGGCCGGCAGGCGTCAGGCGACTGGCAGAGTCTTACATGAAGAACCCCATCCAGGTGTATGTTGGCTCTCTAGACCTGGCCGCCACACACTCCGTCACCCAGACAATCGAGTTTATGGACGAGTCCGAGAAGGAGCCTAGGGTCAGTTACATTGAAATATTTAAAAATAAGTTATTTGCTGAACAGTTGGTTCTTAAGGGGAGATCATAGTGTTGGTGTCAACTTATCCGCTGTACCATATAGCAAGCTTTTTACGAGTTGGAAAGTAAAATTTGTTATGGTTGGCTGTTAAATAGCTCATCAGTGTAGTTTTCAACACAGATGGACTGGGAAATAACCGCTGGTGAGTATGTGGTTTTTGTTCCTAATTGTCTGTGACTATTATAAAAGACCTAACCCAGAACTTTTACTAAACTATAAAAAAACGTTACGTTTGAATCTGCTAGTGTCTAGACAAGAATCAAGGAATGCTGCTGACACTTGATGGGGGGCTTTACCAGACATGGACGGGGTAGGCAGAACTGTCTGCGGTCACTACACCGTTGCTATCAGCTGATCATACATGCAAGTAAAATATACTCTTGTAAACATCTCAGTGAAAGCAGCGCACCTAGATTCTGATGTAGACACTAGCAGATTCGAACACAACGTTTTTACTGGCTCAGTGAGACTTCTGGGCTAGGTCTTTATTCCGTGCTAACACCAACAGTCAAATAGGCCTAGTGATTCCTGGAGTAACTTTTTATCTGTTTGTATTCTATAGTGTAAAAAGTAATTATACACAAATAATTCCCAGGCATGTAGTTTCTAACCTTTTACATTTCCAGCTGCTGGACTTTTTGTGCAACATGGGTCCAGAAGAAAAAGTTATGGTATTTGTCGGCAAAAAGTCGAGAGCAGACGACATCTCCAGTGAGTTAGCACTCGCGGGGGTCAACTGCGATGTGATTCACGGTGATCGAGAGCAAAGCGACCGAGAACAAGCCTTGATTGATCTTAAGTCAGGATATATCAGGATATTGATTGCTACAGATGTAGCCTCTCGTGGAATCGACATTCAGGATATCACGTAAGTCTTGAATTGGTTTATGTTTGAGGGGCTTACATTATTTTTAATTTAAGTTATGGTGAAATTTGCTTATGCTTTACACAATTCTAATATTGCTCTTAAACTGGTACAGTAGAACCTCTTGGATCCGAACTAATTGTGACCGGGGGTAAGTTCGGACTATTGAATAGTTCGGATTACAGAACATATTGTTGTTTTTACATAACAGTTGCTAGGGAAAAGTGAAAAATACTTTATAAAGTAAAATACACTGTTTATTTAAAAGAGAAGTAAACATAGGTAATAAATAGTACTGTACATTACAATAGAAACAATTACGGTGTGTATTCCAATAAATACAGTATACAATAAAGAAGTACTGTACTGTGTATAGAGTACAGCTATGAGGCGTTTGGATTAGTGGACTCGGATAAAGAGGTTCTACTGTATTTTTCATTAGTAAAATTGATATAAACTATCACTAAGTACTTTGATACGGAATCTATTTCTATATTAATAAAATTACAGTTTAAACTATACATTATTTAGAATAGTGGATTTTGGTTATTTTTAAGTTTCATAGCCAAACCAACTTCTTGTATCAATTTCTGTCATTATGTCTGCCAATTTACGTGGCTTACTCCGTGAAAACTAGAGTAGCGAGATCAAGCTTCAAACTGTTATACTGTATCCAATGGATTTGCGAGAATGTCTTTACCTATTAGACATTCTTAACATGGCTTAAGAACTTATTATTACATGGCTTAACTACTTTGGAAATAATATAATGCATTAGAAGAAAATGGGACCAAAACTCGCTCATGACTGGGTTTTTGAACGAGTTTTGTCACATTTCCTCCACATAATTTATCAAATACCAATGATCTGTTTAGAGAATATGTCATCTATAACGACGTAAAGATTCTTTCTTCAAACTTTTACCCTTATGTTAAAAATTGAAAATGTTTACAAATAGTGCAATTATTTCCGATCACGTTTTGGTAGCAAATACAAAACCAACTTATGTTAAGTTAATAACCTATTGACTTAACAGATTTTATTGATCGCAAGTAGAATAGTTTGTAACTGCAATTTAAATTAAATGGCTAGGTACCATCCAGGCTGGGCTACCGGAGATTCTTCATGTTTCAAATGGTACTGAACTTAAGGTTTCAACTGACTACAATATTCACGTCCGTAGATCGGCCACACTGCTAGTTGTTATATAAAATTGTAATCTTTTTATTATTTTCCCAGGCACATCATCAATTATGACTTCCCGCGCAACATCGAGGAGTATGTTCACAGAGTTGGGCGTACAGGACGTGCGGGTCGGACTGGCGAGGCCATCTCGTTTGTCACCCGACAAGATTGGGCTCAGGCTCGGGACTTGATAAAGATGATGGAGGAGGCGAACCAGGTATGCAGTACCTGTTGTGAATGTATTGTTAAAATCTTAATGGCCATGAAGATGCTATGAAAAAACCGAGAAATAAATCTTACACAGAGTGACTTGCACAAGGCCCCACTAGAAAAACAGACCATGCTGCAGGATCCATAATGTCACACCTGTGTGGATTGATTCACTGCCATATCTCATATGTTTTACGTAAATAAGCTGGCGGTTTACGTCTGGCAACTTTAGTATAACTATCCACTACTGTGACGTAGTGTTGAGCTGCAGCATGGCCAGTTGTTCTAGTGGGACCTTGGTTGCTCCCTTAGAAGTTAGGGAATTGTACATGCAAGTTTTCATGACCAGAAAAATTGTGTTTGAGTAATGATTGAGCGGTGGTATTCATTAATGGGTTCCTGTTGGTTCTATTTCCACGTCGCCCTGATCTGGGATATGCTCACAGATGCTGCTGAGATCTAGGAAAAGGTACTTGAATCTTGTCGAGGACTGGGGAAATTTAATGTTTCAGTAATCACCGACAGCCTATAGTTAAATTAATGTGTTCCATTCATTTATGGGCTGTTGGTTCGCTTCATGTAGTCCTGGTTGTAGGGTATGCTTACATTAGGGTTTCTGCAATCACAGGAGATGATCCAGTTGAACATGGTTGATGTTATTCTAGTTTAAATGGTTTAAAAACTGTTAATAAGTTTTAGAATTGATTAAAAACAAGGTAAGAATTTATTTTCACTGTAGATTTGTATAAACAATGGACTTTGTGTATGAATTTTATTCTTGGATATTTTGATTCAATCACTAGTTTTAAGCTGTGTATACAAGCTTTGGGTTTTGCCCAAACACTAAGACAGTTGTAAACCATAACTATTTTCAAATTTCTATTTCCAGATCGTGCCAGAGGAGCTATATCAGATGGCTGAAAGGTTTGAGGCAATGAAAGAGAAGAAAGACCAGGAGAGGAGCCGTGGTGGAGGAAGGGGTGGGGGAAGGTTTGGAGGAGGCGGAGGAGGTTATGGTGGAGGCGGGGGTGGATATGGTGGAGGCGGGGGTGGATATGGAGGCGGCAGAGGGGGAGGGGGAGGACGAAGATGGTAGACTAAGATCTGAACTTTGTGATGTGTAACTTAAGCTAAGATGTTATTAATCAATAAAATCAGTTAATCAAACTGTGATATTGTTTTACAAGATATTTCAGTTTTCCTTGTTTTTAAGAAGTTATTCTTTTGTACATTATTAAGAAGTATTAAAGTTTTTTTTGTAAATTTGATTTTTATTTCCCAAAGTGTTGTGTAGACAACTTTTAGCACTTAAAATGTGTATTCTAATATCTATGAAATGCTCTACATTAAAAGTGCCCTAATATAGATTGTGGTGAAGCACTGGTGGGGTTAAATAAAGGAATGGCTCAATAAACAGGGTGTTCAGAAAAGGTGGGTACATAATTTACTTAGTGATTCCTTGGGTCAAAATAAAGAGAAAATCTAGAACAACATTTTTTCCAAAATCACTTTGTTAACCAGATTTCCGCCCTTTGGTAATTTTTACAAAAACATTTTTATGTTTGAAGCTTTACAACCGATCTTTATGAACCTTGGCATGTATGTTAAGGTAGAAAAGACCCCTGAAGGAAAAAACACTATCTTGATCAACTTAAAATTTCCTAATGGCGACCATTTTAATTTTTTAAACTTAAATTACTAAAATATGGCTGATTCTATGAAAACATTTCAAGTACACTTTTATTTTGCATTTTCATTTCTCTATAAAACAATGCCAAGTTTAAAAAGAGCTAATAAAAAGTAGCTGAAGTATTTTTAGCGAATTTCCCTATAGGGAAGTAGCTATTACCGTAGGTCTCATGGTAAGACCTAAGCCCGGGACCGATTTACTTTTTCTTTTTGATGTCCCCAGAGGCCAAAAACACCATTCATTCAAATTTTTATACATCTATATATAGAGATATATATATATATGTGTCCATCCGCACGATAACTTGAGTAATTTTTGTCCGATTTTGATAAAATATGGTTTGAAGGTGTAAGGCGGGATAAACTTGAATGAGTTCGCGAACCAGCATGATCGGACTATGAGAACGGGGGTTTATGGGGTAAAAATAGGTTTTTCCCATTTTTGACCCTAAAAACACAAAATTTCACAATTTATTTTTAAACCATTTTGTAGAGCTTAAAAAAAACAAATAATTCAGTATATTAGAAGCGTTATTATGCGCCTAATTGTTACGAAGAAAATTCAAAAAAATTGTAATTTTAAAATTCCCATGTTATTCTTATGGAGAATAAGTCAACTGTTGTAGTTTGCTTGTTATGAATATATTTTGATCAAATTTGGAAAATACATTAATTTCTTACTAAACCACAGTACCTTTTAATATTTTACATAAAAAAACTTTTTTACCCTCCCTGTTGCAGCAATCCTAAGTACTCATTAAACTAATTCTGTTTAAATAGGGAATAAATGTGATATTTTTAAGGAGACGTTTTAGTTTAAATCCAATCAGGCAGATGGAAATTCGCTAAGTCTGCAGGTTTGCTGCGGCGGGGGTATTTTAGTTGTAAAATGAGGCAAACCTGACTAACTTGGCCTTATCCTACCCCATTTCACAACTAAAAATCGTGATATTTCTGGTAGGTTAATTATTTTGTTTAGTCACAGTATATCATTCACACAAAAACATTAAAAATTTTAGTTAGTGGAAAGGTTATATAGCAAGAAATTTTAAAAACTACATCGCTGAGGTCTTAAGTAGAAACTACCTCTTTGTGGGTTATTTGGAGGGGGCTACTTTTCTACACTGAGATGTTGACGGTCCAGCCTTTCCTCAAATGTGCCCTTTGGCTTTCAAAGTTCTGAGGTGAGGATATTAAAAGTAAATATTGATTGGTCCCCATGGCTGCAATGAGAAAACATACTGCATTTTTGTTATAACATCTCAATGTAAACAAGCAATGTCATTTCACAATTTCAGACAGCTGGCCCAAACAAATTAAATATTGTTTTTCAATTAATTGTTAAGTGTTATGTTTTGTTTAGGTCTTCTTTTTAACCTATTTAACAACTACAACGTGACATTCATTACTTCAGTTGATTGTTTATTAGTGCAAGGTGTCTGTACTTCCTTTGTTTTGAAAGTAAATCATAATCTTAGTTTTTTGTTTGTTTATAACATTTCACCATGGACATTTTAGTTCCTACTCCTATATCAAAAGTCGTATCTGCTGTCTGTATTTTTGGATTTTCAATTTTATTTGGAATAGCTCCGTTATTTTGTAAAGTATGTGTTAGATCAAAAAAAGTGCAGTGGATAAACAATAGCATTATATGTTTTAGTGGTGGCACATTATTGGGAATATCCTTTCTTCATTTAATGCCAGAAACAAGAAGTTCAGTGGCAAGACTACGTTCCGAGGGACACTTTACAAGTTTCCCAGTCCATATCTCTCTTGCTGATACAATCATTTGTGTCGGCTTCTTTGTCACTTGTGTGCTTGATGAATTGATCCATCTGCTATTACAATATGCTGGGTCAGACCACCACCATCAGCCTCATGGGAAAAGAGAAACCGATCTGGAAGCTTTTCATTTTATTAAAGAAGGTCCTAAGACAAAGGAAGTGAGCGAAACAAAGGATAAGGCAACATCAGCAGACGAGGAGAACGTAGAACCGACTTTACAACATAGCCATTCACACTCAGGTATAAATATCCACATCCCCAGCATTCTCACAATCATGGCTCTCTCTTTCCATGATGTGTTTGAGGGGCTCGCCCTTGGGATTCAGAAGCACGTGGATGATGTATTATTCATGTTCCTCTCAATCGCCACACACAAGTATGCGATAGCCTTCTCTGTAAGCCTAGACTTGCTCCTGTCTGGTGTGAGAGACAATATGATATTCCTGTACACTATACTGTTCTCAATAGTGAATCCAGTGGGGATTTGTATTGGTATTGCTTCTGGTGCAGTCAGCAGCGAGGGAGGGATTCAATCTCCAGTGACGGTGTTTATGCAAGGACTAGCCAGTGGATCTTTGATCTATGTGACATGTGTTGAAGTGCTCCAACGTCACAAAACCTCCGAAGACCACATCAGTGGGTTACGCAACACCTTGTTTCTTATTCTTGGTTTCATTTTCATCTTGATAATGAAGATTTATTTGCCACATGACCACTCTTTCCACGAATACAAGGGTCATGTCTAGCACAATTTAAGGAATTTAATATAATATTTTTCATGTGACAGGTTTGGTTTTATTTTTATTTCTAGGTTGCGTCATTGATTATAAAAATTAAGTAAGATTCAATACCATTGCTGTATGAACCTTGGCTTTCTCCTTGAGTTTTTAAAGTGTCTGTGTAATCTTATGATATATTTTAACAGTAGGAAAACTATAAGGTTTAGATGTTTTGAAATATTTTGACATTTTGTTAGGTACGGTAACAAATTTGCAACTAACAATTATTATGTTTTGATTACGCTTTAAAATATTTATCTGTTAAAACTAGATGAATGTACAATGTTTACAAATCCAAGATAATTTTACGTTTATCAAACAAAGTGATTTGGTTGAATTTTGTTTTATAAAAGCTTTGGCGGATGCATAAATATTGTATACAACAGATGTAAAGATCAAAAAGGTTTCGTTCACGTCCTCTTCCCGTTGAGCACAGGTACAACAGCTATAGGTATATTTTCTTTAAAAGTCTGCAATACTTAAATAATTCAAGTAAGATTAATACTGTAATAGAATATAAAAGAATATTCCTGTGAATTTAAAGTTAGGCCTACATGCCATACGTCATTGGCCCTTATGATCTGTCAATTTAACTACCTACTTTGATGTATGAGATTAAGCTTTTCTTGTCCTTGTTGATAGCATGTGTTTTTTCCCTAAGCCAAGAGAAAATGTATCTGCAATATGTATCTCTTTCCATTCATTTGTTTGTGATTATCATGATCATTCTTCTTAAACTTAATGAGCTTTTCAAAAAACATACAAATTTGATCATATACACATTTGGATCAGTTCACAAAATTCACTTGTTTAAAGATGCTAGCAATTTAAATTGTTTTAACATTTAATTTTTCCAAAATTTCTACCAAATATTACAATTATAGAATTGTTGCCATGTTTAAATACGTAACAACATTGTAAAAATTTCATAAGGTAGTAATAAGAATAAATTTTCCCAGGGGTTCCAATAATATTCAAGTTATTCATTCTTAACATGCCCCATTCACATGATTCATTCTTAATAATCCCCTTCAGGATCTAATTGATGCTCAGAAAATTACAGGCTAATACAATTTTTAAGGGTTTGAAAAATCTCCAAAACACCATTCCTTTAACACTAGATTGGGTTATGAAAAAACTAAAATCTTACTGTCAAAAACATATATTTACAACAAATTATATTCAATTGTTATTGTTTCCTAGCCTTATACTCCTGCAACAACTCTCTAAGTCCATTTAAGAAGTCGTTGTTAATTTGTGTCAGTGCAGCGCTCTGTCGCTGGATTAGCCTTTTTTCCCAGGCTTGCTGCTGAGCCAACTCTCGCTGTTCCTCAGCGTGATCCTGCTCTCGTTCCTTATCAGATACCCGAAGCACCATTGCCTCCCAGTCCTTGGTGAAATTCTTCAACACGTTAGAATACATTCCATCTTTTGTCTTCTGTTTTGCACGACCTTCTAGCGCCTTGACTGGAAAAATTAAAACCTTTAAACCTTTGTTCATTATTGAAAACTAGGCATCCTATTTTCATTATAAAATAATAATACCCCGCCGCAGCAAACCTGCAGACTAAGCAAATTTCCAATTTCAGGGGCTGGATTTCTACTAAAATATTCCCTAAAAACTGTCAGATTTATTTCCTATTTGAAAAACTTAACATTAATTTTAATAAGTACTTAGGTTTGCTGCTACAGGGAAGGTAGATGTGCTTTTTATTGAAATGTTGATAGCTTATTATGAAATCAACAAAATTGCCAAATTTGATTATATCTAGGCTATAGACAACCAAACTGCAACAGTTTATTCTGCATAAGAATAACGGGAATTTTAAATTTACAATTTGTTGAATTATCTCCGTAACCGTTAGGCAAACAACAATGCTTGAATATACAAAATTATTTCTTTTTTAAGCTCTACAGAACGGTTTAGAAATAAATTGCAAAATTATACGGTATGTTTTTGGGGTGAAAAATGGGTAAAAACCCAATTTTTGACCCAATAACGCCCCATAAACCCCTGTTCCCATAGTCCGATCAAAGATCTCTATGACATATTTCAGTGCCAGTACCAACCTGTCAATACTTAATATTACAATTATTTTAATTCCACCAGCAATCATAAAATCTTAATAACAAAGCAATTCGTCCCAAAGTAGTGTTAAATCCACAAGTGAAAAATTAAACAACTAGGCCGAACACATTCTATATAGGTATTGTTTTTTTTTATAATATTGTTTTTGGTACTAATCATACCGAGGCCACTATCTTAGAGCACACTGCAGCGGTTAAGTTCATCTTAAAACCTTAACTAGTTTACCATCACTGCCCACTTTAAAATAATGTATAGGCCTAACTTATATTACCGTACCTGAGTAGACATTTTTTTTGTTTTACCCAGGAAAACAGGTATACTTACATTGCTTCTTTTGGATTATTGGTTCTTCTTTAACTGGTTCAGCAACCGGAGGGGATTCAATGACCGCTGGTTCTTTGTTTAGCTCTTGTGCAAATTTTATAAGTTCCTCCTGAGGCATATTTTCATCTATTTCTATGAGGACATATTCCTCTGCATTATCAGGTGTGCCTGAAAAATAAACCTAAATAAATAAAGCTCTAGTAGGAAACTTGTACCGGTTGTACTTGTACAGTTGTTATTCAATATTACATGGACCTGTAAAGCAAATTAACAATAGGCCTACAGATTTGTGGTCTCGGTCGACCTTGTCAAAAAAACAAACAACCGGCATTTGGCCTCAATGCAGGAGCCATCTCGAGGGCAACTTGACTTACACCGTTGTCGTATGTAGCAAGTGGAGTTGGCAGGTTCAAATTACCGTTGAATTTTGAAAACCATTTAAAAATTTGATAAAAATAAGCAATTTAAAATATAATTTATAAATAATATCAATTTAAAATTGATATAGGCCTACCCTGGTTGAATTGACTGGGACGGGCGTCGTCGTCCTGTAATCCAGCTACTAGGAGGTCACGAATTGTGGATATTTATAGGGATGCACTGTGGATGCGATGCTCACTGGTGTGGATTAACGTCCGCACTAGTGAGTACTACGACTATCCGCAGTACTATCCTAATAATTAGACCAATTCGTAAATTACAAGGAAAAATATGGTTCGGATTCCACTATAAACTGTAGGTCCCTTAGTTGCCATTAGCTGTATGGGCTATTAATTAACAGCTGTGTCTAAGGAACATGTCGGCCTTAGTCACTAACAAGACTACAAGATCGCGCCACTCATCCTTCACTCATATTTGGGTTAAAATACGCACATAGTGGCGTCCCCATCTTAAATAATTGATAATTGATAATTGATAATTGAATTTAGTTTGGTTAGTTAGGTTAGGTTCTGACAGTTTCATTTTAACCTAACCTAACAAACCAAACTTTCTGATGGTGAAAAAATTGAATAAAGGTTTACCACGTTAATCAAATCGATTGTTTCAATCGATATTAGCATAGACCAGTTAAGAAACTGTACCCTAGTGTTTATCCTAGGGTTAACTAGCATAATATGAATAGGCCTAAGTTACGTTAGCCTAGTTTCAATTTCCTATAAGCCTACATGAAACTAAACCAAAGTACGCCTAGGCCTAATTAATTGCCGTCATTAGAATCAGAATCTTACCTTCAACTATTATATATTGTTGATTTTGTTGCTCCATCCTAACTGGTTAATCTGCTTCAGGAGAAAAAAAGTTAAAATTATGATAGACCTAGATCTGTTAGAGAAGTGTGTTATTGTTGTGTTGGTGTATTGTACACGTATAGTAAATAGTCTGAAAGCAAATTGTTTTGTTAACTACTTAGGCCAGGCCTTTGATGAACTTATGCCTGCCAAGCGGTATCGAAACTGTTGTGATACATGTTGAGTAAGTTTTTCCTGAATAATTAATAACTAAAACACTAACAGTAATCAAACACTACTGCAAAAGATCCAAAACAACGGTTTTGGCCTTTGGAGTTTGGGTTTACTGTATTGTCGGTTCCTCGGTTGTTGTTATTGTCGTCTGACTCTGACTGAGACTTCACTTGAGACTGAACTGAACTGAACTGCAACTAAACTAGATGCTTGGGATTGGGATGGGATTCTACTTTAATTATTTGACATTCGACTTTTTCATTGGACGGTTAAAGGCAGAGCTTGCTCCATGAGCTCAATTATTACTTTAATTTTGCACTTGATTTATTTACTTCTTACCATAGATTATAAAATATTGAATTATTAAGACTGATTAATTTTTATGTTTTCCATATAAATGATTTCTCATTATAGTTAATGCACCTCTTAATATAATATTTGATGTATAATTATTTATTTTCAAAAGGATCAAATGATTCAAATGATTTATTTGGCCATTCAATTCATACAGGACAATAGGCTACGTCAACAATACAATAAATAATAAATAACATGCCAAGCTTCTTCTAGCATTCTTGACTAACAAAATTAAATTAAAAGCTGAAAAAAACACATGCAGGATCTCAATCAATATAAAACATGCAAAGCAATGCATGCAACTAAAAATAAAGAAAATACCCCCGCCACAGCAAACCTGCCGACTAAGCGAATTTCCATTTGTCTTAATTGATTTTCAATTAAATATATTTTAATAACATTATAACGAGTACCTAGGTTTGCTGCTACAAGGAAACTAATAAAGTGTGTTTTTTTGTAAAATATTGATAGCTTAGTACAAAATAAATAAATTTGATCAAAATACAAAATATATCCATAAACAAGCAAACTACAACATTTGACAATATTCTCCATAAGAATAACATGGGAATTTTAAATTTACAATTTTTTTAATTTTCTCCGTTACTATTAACCAAACAAAAATACTTTTATATACTAAATTAATTGCTTTTTTAAGCTCTTTAAAAAGGTCTAAAGAGAAATTGGGAAATTTTGTGTTTTGAGGGTCAAAAGTGAGAAAAACCAATTTTTACCCCATAAAACCCCCCGTAAAGCCCCGTTCCCATGGTCCGATCATGCTGGTTCGCGAACTCATTCAAGTTTATCCCGCTTTACACCTTTAAACCAAATTACTTAAAAATCGGACAAAAATTACTCAAGTTATCGCGTTCACGGACGTATATATATATAAGTCTATATATATATATATATATATATACATATATAAAAATTTGAACGAATGGTGTTTTTGGCGTCTGGGGACATCAAAATGAAAAAGTAAATCGGTCCCGGGTCTATGTCTTACCGTGCCACCTACGGTAATAGCTACTTCCCTATAGGGAAATTCGCTAAAATGAAAACTACATGCTGCAAGCCATGCAAGGCAGAGAAAAATAAATAAATTTACATTTTTGTAATACCTCTACTGGACTACTGTGGGCTCAACCCAATAGTAACAAGCTGTGCATTCCAAAACTCTTTTATGGAATAGAATGGATTGGCAAGCATCCAAGCTTTTAGTGTGGTCGCAAACTTGTTCGGTAAGAGTTGTCTTACAGTTATGGGTAAGGCATTGTAGAACCTTTATTCCTGCAACAGGAAAGCAGTTGAGAGTTAAATCTAGTCTAACTCTATCTCTAAAAATATTTTCATTGTTCCTAGTGCTATAATGATGAACATTATTAACCAATGGAAACGCTGATTCATTGTTCTTAATCTCTAACAGGCATTGGTAAATAAATACATTGTGTACAGGCATTATACCATGCTGAACAAACAGAGGTTTACAATGCTCAAGCTGATGGACTCCACACAAGACCCTGACAGCTTTCTTCTGTAGTTTGAGGACTTTTTGCACTCCAGGGGAGTGACCCCAGAGCCTAGTGCCATACAAAATGTGAGCATGGAAAAAAGCAAAGTACGCAAGTCGAACAAATTCAAATGGCATGTCAGCCTTCAACCGTCTGAGCAAATGGATTACACGACTTAGCTTACCACACAGGATTTCAATATGATCGTTCCAATCAAGCTGAGGGTCAAGGGTGAAGCCCAGCAGCTTTACAGTGTTTTCTTCCCTCAGTTCCCTAGAAAGACTGAAAGTGATGTTTTGAGTTTTGGCTTGGTTCAGGCATAATTTATTGTTGCGAAACCAGATAGAAGCTACATCTAATAATTCCTGCACAGCAACTTTAGATACAGAAAAATCTGAGTGACTAGAAAAGAGAGTTGTGTCATCTGCATATAGCAGGACATTGCCTGCAACACTGTGATACAAGTCATTGATTGAGATTACAAAAAGGAAGGGACCCATAATAGACCCTTGCGGGACTCCATTGTTCACCATCAGAGGACTGGAAGAGTTACCATTCCAAGTCACAACTTGAGAGTGAGACCTCCCTTCAAGATAAGATTTAATCAGTGAAGAGAGCATCGCCTCGTACCCCGTACCTTTCGAGCTTTGACAACAGGAGACTATGTGACACACAGTCAAAAGCGCGGGATAGGTCACACATTATCTATCCAAATCATATTGTTTCCAAAAGTTTACTGTAGTGTGATATTTCAATTTATGTAGATAGCACTGCAATTGCTATTCCTTATAAGTCACGTGAACGTGGAATGGATTGTTGTAGATCAACTATTATGATAATTTTTTTACTTATAAATATAATGATAATATACCAATTTTTACAATAATATATAAATAAAATATTGATGATAATTATGATAATTGTATTTGATATAGTAATATACATAAAACTGGAAATAGCTGTAGATGGCTGTGGTGCCACCTGACAGCCGATGCCGATGCACGTCAAGCTTTTGTGGATGATCAAGCCATCAAGGAAGAAGGGAGGAGGTTAACTAAACTAACTTACTGTTAGCCTTAGCCATTATTATCGGAAATTGTTTAGTTGTAGTGTCTATTCAAAATTCATACAATGAGTTCCAAAGCTGAAAAAGAAAAGCTAAAACAAATTCAAGATAAATGCCAGACGCTTCTAAACCAAATGTTAAGGGATGAAGACAACAAGTATTGTGTAGACTGTGATGCTAAGGGTAAGACAACATGTTTGTCATTTAGTTAGTTGAATGGATGGAAACCTGTAAAATAAGTATATTTTATATAAGCTAATGAATTATGATATTGTTTTATCAACAATTTCTGTATCAATATAGGTCTAATTTCTAGACAGGAATAACTAAAACTTTGGTCCAGGCTAGGTACATTTTTTGTATATTAGGTACTTAGGCCTACTCAGCATATAATATGGCTGGTTGATACTTAAGATCACCCCTTTTAAATCTCTAAGTATATCAATTGGATTTGGCTTATTAGAATCTTCATGTTTCTAGTAACTCTCCTTTTTATCACTGCCTTCAAGTAGAGCCTATTAAAAAAACTCAGTAGGTTTGTTGTTGTGAATTAACTTATATTTTTGTGAAGTTAACCCTCCGAGTGTCCATAGTTTAGGCCTTAATGTCCACCTATTTTTGGCCCCTTTGCAAGGTTTTATTAAAACGGATCTGAGAAGCTTAAAACAATGTTAATTCTAATGTTCTATATACCATTTTGTTTGGAAAATCATGGGCTTCAATATTATATATAAAACATAAGGAACATTTTTTAAAAAAAAAAATTTTTAGGTAAAAAAAAAATATAATTTCGAAAATTTTCAAAAAAAAAATAAGTTCGCGCTCAATGAAATTGTATAAATTATAGGCCTATAAATATTTGAAAATAGCCACTTTGTTCTAAATTTAATGAGGATTACAAATATATAATCATATAGCGAGGTAAGTTATCAAATAAATAAGTTATGAGCGAAAAACGGATTTCAGTACATAGCGTTTAGCTAAGAATGCATAGCCTAACCATAGCTAGGAATCTGGCTGATAATTTACATCAATATCACTACCTACTTCTTCAGGATCATCAACCAGCACTTCAAAACCACTTAAATCTTCTTATAATGCACCACGTATATCACTACTTTTGATTTTTAACACTAAAACAATGATAAACGTAATAAAACACATCAGTCATCGGTCTGGGGGAACCTAGCTGTTTACAAATACACGCACGTCAGCTGTCTGCTACAATATTTTCGGAACTAAAATGAATAGCGCTTAGAGACAGACCTCTGGAGAAAGCTTAGAATATTACGGAAAGAACGATACCTAACTCGATCCAGTTCAATCCGATTCAGTCAGTCATAGAGCCTTCGCCGTAAACGATGTTTGTGCGTCTTAAAAGCGACGCGTGACCCTACACAAAGTGTGTTGTGCGTCGTTTTTATGACGCGTGACACTCGGAGGGTTAAGGTACCTCCTAGTTTCAAGAACTTTAATTACTGGTTAAATCTATTATTGTTGCCTTCGTTCTTGAGTTGAAGGGTTTGTATTCACAATAAGTTACCCCACATTTATTTCACCAGCCTGGGTGGGATCTATCGTGTGGGGGTCTTCTATCTTTATTTCACTGACACTACAAATATTGTCTAATTGCTAAGTTATTTACACATAGGCGTAGTATTTTTACATCCATCACTGGTTATGCGGTCGACTTATTTGCCTTGCTTGACTTATTTCCTGTTATTTCTCCGAGGAACATAGGGTAGCAACCAGACCTCTCCAGCGTACTTGATTGGGAGCAATTCTCTTCACCTCCAGTCATGACCTTCCAGCCTGCCGCAGCTCTTGTTACAGGGTGGTTTTTGATAACATACACCTACCCTACATCTATACATCTATACAGCGTAGGGTACATCTATACCTCTCCAATTCTTCTTTTAAACTTAACTTTATCCGAATACCTCGGGCACTATTCTGTTACAGAGTAGTTTACAATAAATTATGTATACACCTGTCCCATTTTCAGTTTAACTTTTTCCGATTCCCACACTATTTTGAACCCTATTATGAGTTTTTATAAATGTTAGGCCTACCTTTTTTGTATTATCCTAAACATTAAGCCAAAACTACATGGGATTTTCCCCGAAATAGGTTAAATTAACCTATACAAACTGATTATAGGATCTTAGTGATATTTACCAGCGAAAACCAAATTGGATGTTGTGGTTGTGTCATGTTCGACTGAAATGGAGCATTGTTATTTTTTTTTTTAAAAGAGGTTGGCGGCCTCTTTTAACCTTTCATTTGCCCGTCCACATAGACTACAGATCTGTGCGTGGAACGTATCCAGCAAAGCAAGGGGTGAGCCAGTACAGTACAAAGGTGAACTGTACTGATAAAAGATTGTGGCAGTGACCAGGATCCGAACCCTTGACACTACTGCCTTGGGCCCGAAGTCCGCGACGCTACCAACTGAGCCACTGACTCACCTATTGGTATCCTGGAATGTCATAACGATTTGTTGCTGTGTTTACTCAGTCATGTGACTGAAATGGAACATTATTATTGGTCTCTGGGATTTCTTTGTCTACGACTTTCTCCTTGTTCCTTTTCAGTTTGGGAACTGAAATAGTGGACATAAGCTAGTACATTGCAAACTGTAATAACTATTTCTTGCGATACTATAACTGTGTATGTTTGCGTTATTTGGACATTAAGCCTACAGTATTGCGTTACTTGTAAAAGGTGGAGCGCTTAATGGGGGAAAGTACAGTAATTGCAATGGATGTGGGAACATGTGTTTGCTGGACAAAGTTTTGCTATCATCGGATTTCAATTCACAATCAGAAGAGAAAACAGTGCTCATTTAATGTACCCGGGCAGGCAGGGTCCATTATGGACAGGTTAGATTTGGTTAAATGTTTATTTTATTGTTTAAGGTTGTTCTAGTATGAAATTGTACCAACAAATATTGGAATACTTTTTATATTATATTCAAGTATTGGAGGAAGTTTGGTTAAGTTGTGTTAGGTTTTTTTTCAAGATTTTTGTTTGTGTGTATATCTCTTCGCCACAGATTATTTTCCTCTAATACCGTGTACCTATATAATATACACCTTCTACACAATTTCATACTTACTGGAATCATTATTTTGGTGACGTGGTACTCGCACATTTTTCCAAGTATTTTAATTTTGTTAGAATTTTTTCATTTTATATTTTCTTAGATCCAAGTTTTTTTTAAGTTTTCTAAAATTTTAGAAAAATGTCAGCAAATTATGAAATTTACAAAAAATCAATCATTTGGCAACAACATATTTTTCTTCCTTATTTTATATTGGTGCACCGTATCTTTTTACGCACCAAGTTAGGTGAGGCTTTTAGTTGATTGTTGTATTTATTTATTTAGTAACATGTCAGCCAAATCAATTTTATTGTCGCAAAATGTTACAGTAATCTAAATCATTATTTAAATGCTTTGTTTTCTTCCCCTTTTATTAGCCATTAAATTTAATTTGTTTTTCTATCTGAGTTGGTTTTGTAAAATACTGGTATAGTGAGAAAATTGAAATATCTGTTGAGAGAAGCCATTGCTTTGCTTCGTGATAAACTGTCATCTGTTTAAAGTCACATCAGTTATCAAGCGTTGAGTCATTTTGTCAAGACTAATAGGGCACAACTGTTAAACTAACATCTCACTGTCATCTTAACTTGACTCTTGATATACACCTATGGAACCAAGGTTGTGTCAGATTTACTAAAAATAATACTAACTTAGTCTATAAGCAAAAAAATTCAAATTATGAAGCCTTACTATGCACTTCCATGACTATTAGAATGTCAACGTATTCTGTTAAATGTGTTATTCTATGATAAAGCAATGTTTATAGAACACTACTACTTTATTTTGGTCATTAACTGTTGTGCCATGCTTTATCTTGTAAACATGAAAATTTCCACTTATAACCTACAGTATGTTCAAAGTTTAATTTGGTCTGGTGCATTAGGCTAAGTTAGTTTAAATTACATCAAAGTAAGGTAGGCTACTTAAGTTCAATTAATCAAAACAAAACATTTGAGTTAATACACCTATTTATCCAATAACCTGTACTATTCACTTAAAGTAAAATTTAGGAATTGAACGTGATACTGTGTCTGGAACTATTAGTCAAAGTAAAAACACTCTGTAATTTTCTCCCCTTTATGAGGAAAAATCATTTAAATACAGCGGTACCAAATGCTAAATAGGTATCAGAAAGTGGTAACTTTTTTACCTACCTTTCTTAACCTAAAACCTTTTCACAGAAAATAATTAATTTCAAATTTAGATACCGGTATATTAACACTACTTTGATACTTGCAAAAATATTCAATAAAGTCATCAGTATTTAGATATAATGCTGTTGAAATGTCATGGCTTGTTCTCTGTTACAAAAACTTGATTGAAAATAAACACATAAACAAAGAGGTTATGTTACAAAAATATGAATGTTTGCAGGTCCAAGATGGGCGTCCTGGAACTTGGGGATCTTCTTATGTATTCGCTGCGCCGGAATCCACCGTAACCTTGGGGTCCACATCTCCAAGGTCAAGTCTGTCAACCTCGACTCATGGACACCAGAACAAGTTGTCGTAAGTCTCGATGGTCATAATACAGAGAAAGCTAGTATACGAACCATCAAACAATTTTATCGTCAAATTTGCTACTGTAACTTGCTTGCCATCAAAAATATTTGATGAACTTGCTGCCGGTTTTTTTAAAATGTGGTTAGCATTAAAGTCTTCATAATCTGGGTATCTGCTAAGAGCTGAAGTATATCTAATTGCAAATTTCCTAGGGTCGACAGTGGCAACCTAAAACTCCTGACTCCTATTGTAAGCATAACCTGTCTGGCTCCTTCTTCCCCTATGCGTTGTGTCCGTGTAAGTTGCTAGTCTATGGTGTGTTTAGGCCTACATCTGGTTGCAACACAACTCTGTATCCACATCCTCTGAGGGCTATCATTTTGGTATTTGGATAAAAAAAGTTTTGAGAATGATTTATCAATTTATAAATCCTAAACAGATATCTTGATGCTTAACTGGTATGTTTATTTTACAGAGTCTGCAGCAGATGGGAAACTCGCGAGCACGAGCAGTGTACGAGGCTAACCTCCCGGACAACTTCCGCCGGCCCCAGACTGACTCTGCTCTCGAGGCATTTGTCCGAGCCAAGTACGAGGCCAAGAAGTACATTGCTCGTGAGTGGGTGCCCCCTCCTCTGCCTAAGGTAATGTATCCAATCGCTACAGTTGTTCCAATTACTTGAGCCTTAGTGTTATCTTTGCCGAACATTCTTTGAAACATATACAAAAGATATTTATTAGTACTTGGACTGGTTATTTAAAACATCAAAAACATGCATAGATAATGGGCCGAGTGAATAAGAGTAAAAGAGTTTACTTGTCTTAAATTTTCATAATTTGAGTATTTACTTGAACAGAAGTGAATAAACGCAAGTATTTACTTGTACTTGTTAGTAAAGCCTTGCCAAGGAAGTATACACTCAGAAACCTATAAATTTGGTGTGAATAAATACGAGCAAATACTTGCCTAAAGAGTAAATACTTGTTTTTTAACAAGTTATCAGTGGGCCGAGTGAATAAAAACAAGTACAGCAAGTAATTACTTGCGAGTAAATACTTGCAAGTATTCATCCCTCAAGTAAACTCTTGTGAATAAAAACGACTCTTTACTTGCAAGTAAATACTTCCTAAATGAGAGGGTATACTCACTGATCTGAGGGTATACTTGCAAGTATTTACTACTTTCAAAGTAAACTTAATACGAGGTACAAGTAAATACTTGTAGCTTATTTCTCATAAACAAATTTACTTTTCTCTACAATTCTGGTATCCCTATGTGCTCTTACTTGTATATATGTACATATTACTAGTGAACAGCACTGCTGTAGTATGTATAAAACTATAACAGCTAATTTTACATACATTCATCGCAAGGGCGGTTCTAGAACTATATTTTTTGGGGGAGAGGTTGCCGAGGGGTCCGGAGGTCCTCCCACGGTAGAATTTTAACAATATGTGCTTAAATGAGAGAATTTAAGCTATTTTGAGGCATACAAAAATTAATTATCCTAGCTTGATGTACAAGAGTCCCATAATATTATTGAAGGTCGAAGAATTTGGTTTAAACGTGTCACATGTTATGTTATTTTTTTATTATTGAGACTTATGGTTTTCCATTAACACGTAGCTTGAACGACGAATGAATAAAATAAAAATACAATACAGTACATCTAGTTTAAAATTTAAAAAATACTTTTTTTATTTATTTAATATTTTTGGACTCTTGTATTAAGGGTTCCAACTTTTCCCCAAGTATTTATTTTGCAAAAACACTTGAGTCATATCATTATAAATAAATGTATTACATGCATTTTCATCAAGTAAACGCAAACAAGCATGGGTTACTTGTAACTTGTTAAAAAACAAGTATTTACTCTTTAGACAAGTATTTACTCGTGGTTATTCACACCAAATTGATAGGTTTCTGAGGGTATACTTCCTTGGCAAGGCTTTACTTACAAGTACAAGTAAATACTCGTGGTTATTCACTTCTGCCCAAGTAAATACTCAAATTATGAAAATTCAAGACAAGTAAACTCTTTTACTTGTTTTTATTCACTCTGCCCAGTAACCCATGCTTGTTTGAGTTTACTTGTTGATAATTGCATGTAAAACATTCAGTATAGTGTAAGTTAATACATTTATTTAAATGATGATGCATGGCTCAAGTTATTTCCGCAAAATAATGCAGGGGAAAAAGATGGAACCTTAATTCAAAAGTCCAAAAACACAGATAAAAAAAAAAAAATAATTTTCAACTGAAGTGGAACTGGAATTTCTTTGTTATGTTCAATCTATGTGTTAATGAAAATCCACAAGTCTCAATTATTCAAAACCTTCACAATTTACATGTTTAACCTAAACAAAGTTCTTGGACCTTCAATAATAATACAGTCCAACCTCGGTATAACGAATCTCAAGGGACCGAACTAAATATTCGTTATATCAAGGATTTTGTTAAAACGAGGTTCGTTATATAGAGGTTAGGATTGTAAAACATTCGCTATGTCAAGGTTTGCTATCAACATCGGTAAATGTTGGTCGAGGTGTGACGTCGTTTAAACACATTTACAGTACCATATGCTACTACAGTTACTGTATTTTTAAAGTTGCAGATTAAATAAAACTCCCATTCTTTTATACAAACGTTGATTTATTTTTTTTCATATGAACTGTACAGTATTCATAAAATCATAATTGTACTACAGATAGTCAAGTACAGTACACTACAGAAGTACAGCACCATTTCAAAACGAAAAGTCTGGTTCTATAATACAGGCTATACGGTGAATACATTTTAATACACTCACCTCCCGAATTCTAGCCATTAACGGATGATACGTGTTAGCATAACTGGGACATTTTCGACGAAAATTAAGTTAAACGCATACGGCTTTTATAATTCAAGTGAATGTTTCCATTGTTTCCGTACACGTTGGGTCAGTGTTGTTGAAACAGGGTTGAAACAGCAGAGTTTTTTCTAGGGAGGAAGCCTTAGTAGGTAAACAAACCATAAATCACTCGTCTTGAGCCGGGCCTACTCAAGGTCATAGACCTCTCCCCTCCTTGCCCGTCCCGATACGTTTGCAATGAACTGCTACAATTGCAGACAAAATTATGTTTTGAAACATAAAACAAAACTACAGATAGAGACGTTTCTCACAGAAAACTGTTAGGGCCTACAGATTATTTGCAAAGAAAATAAATTATATTAGTGTTTATTTTGTCAATAGTGAACTGAATTTTGTTTTATCTTAAAAGACTAGCCTACATTTTTTTTTAAATAATTTGCTTGTTTCATTGTGTTTAAATACAGTACGTGCGTTGTTCATCGTGATTCCTATAAAATTGGAACCCTTTTTGTTCAATTAATATTTTGCAGAATAAACCACGATTTAAAGTTTCCGGTAAGCTTTGACTTAACACTATCCCGGAGAATTGGGAGTTGAGTGTATGTGTATTTTGATAACTATCATTTATCAATCTACAAAACCTTTAAATAAAATAGAAATGTTTTAAATTTAACAGAAATAAGAAAACAGTAATAGACTTGTTACAAAAAAATACTGTACACACAGAACAGAACATAAACCATATAAAGAACAACAGAAAATGTGAGTACAGTAATGTAATTTAAAAGAAAAATAACACTTTTTCAATAAGCCTAACCTATTATCGTCATTCTACATCAGAATTAAGGATTTAGTTGGCATTGTCAGTTACTTCACTTACTTGGCTACTTCCACTCTGATTATTAAAGAAGAAGTCTGTTATCGTTGTTTGCTTACGTGCAGTGATGCTCAACGTGTCCAAGGCGCAGTCCAGGTCGGTGATAGATTTCACAACACCGTCAGACAAACCACTCTTTTTAAGAAAAAAACGTTTTAGCAAGCTTAGAGCTTGATGAGCTTCTTTTGAAGTTGGGTCAGGCAACTCAGTTTGTTCATCTTCGTCGTTATCTTCCTCCACATCCGCCACATCCGCATTCTCATCTGACGTCACAGAGGAGATGATTTCGGCATCAGTTAGTTCTCCACACACGGCCAGGTCGTCATCAAATGTAACGAAGTCTTCGAACCCTGCAGCGTCCTCCTGTAGGTTGAGCACTTCTTGGATTTGTTCCCAACTCTCAGGAACATCGACGGCTTGAGTGAAAGGCTGTGCTGTGTTGTCTTCCGAGGTCGGAACGGCGAATCCGCTCTTCCTGAAGCAGTTGGAAATTGTGGTCTCCGTGACCTTGCTCCATGCTTTTGTTGTCATCCACATGGCGTCCAAGATGTTAATGTTAGTTGGAATTCGGCTTTCCATGTCTCTCAGAAACTGTTGAACAACCTCTTTTCGGTAATTGACTTTAAAGCTTTGAATAATCCCCTGGTCAAGTGGTTGCAGCTTCGATGTTGTGTTTGGAGGCAGAAACTCGATCTTTATGTTACTGAGTTTAGGAATGTCTCCATGAGCCGTGCAGTTATCCACAAACATAAGAATTTTCTTCTTTTTCTTTTTCATTTCTTTGTTTACACTTTGAAGCCATTTAGTAAATGCCTCACAGTTCATCCAAGCCTTTGGGTTTGCCATGTAGTCCGTAGGAAGATCAGTCAGATTTTTAAAACATCTTGGGTTTTTTGACTTCCCGATTACAAGAGGCTTTAATTTGTCAGTTCCTGTGCAGTTTGCGCACAACATTACAGTTAGGCGATCCTTGCTGCTTTTCCCGCCGTGGCATTTATCGCCCTTAAACGACAAGGTTTTGTCCGGCAAACACTTAAAAAACAGTCCCGTCTCGTCCGCATTATAAATGTTTTCCGGTTCGTAGCCTTCGGTTAGCGCGATAAGTTTATCTTTCCACTCGGAACAAACACTATCGTCGACTTTAGCACTTTCACCGCAAATTTTTTTAAAAATAATTTCATTTCGTTTTTTGAAATTTTGCAACCATCCGTTGCTAGCTCGGAATTGTTCATGCCCCAGTTCAGAAGCAAACTGCTGGGCTTTTTCTTGAAGGATTGGACCGCTTACAGCAATATTTTTGTCCCGACACTGCTTCAGCCATTTGAGAACACACTCCTCTACATCCTTTAGCTCACACGACTTTAACTTTTTGATTGCCGAACACAGATCATCGTTGTCGAACCTGTCCTTTCTTTTTAAAATTGTAGCCAAGGTGCTAGGTGGTATGCCAAACTCTTTCGCAATTTCCGTTTTTTTCTTTGTTGGGTTCTCTTCAACGCACTTAATAATTTTACGCTTAGTATCCACGCTTAACGCGCACCGTTTCTTTTTATTGTTTTCACTCATAATCTCTGATTTCACGCACTGCACAATCCACTGCACTGACAGACGCAATGAACTGGAATAAAACAGGACAGGAAGCTAGACGCTGTGACCGAGCGTTCATGTCTAGACGCGAATTGCGTTTGTTTCCGTTCGTTATAACGAGGGATGACGCAATCAATTCGTTAAGTAGAGGTTGCGTTCGCTATATAGAGGTTCTGATATTGATAAATTCGTTATATAGAGGTGAATAACATCAGCCGGGATCGTCAAAAATTCGTTAAATCAAGGTTTATAATACGGTTTGTTCGTTATGTAGAGGTAAAATTTACATTGTTTTATATGGAAAGTTCTAGGGGATTTAAAAAAATTCGTTATATCAAGGAATTCGTAATATCGAGGTTCGTTATATTGAGGTTAGACTGTATGAGATGCTTGTACATCAAGCGAGGTTAATTTATCTTGTTATGCCTCAAAATAGATTAAAAATCTTTTATTTGAACACATAATGTTAACATTTTTCCGTGGCATGGAAGGACCTCCAGACCTCCCTCCAACATTCCCCCCTAAAGATTTAGGTCTAGGACTGCCCTTGCAGTGAACGTACGCACAATTAACTATTATAGTTTCACACGTACTTCAGCAGTGCTGTTAACTAGTAACAAGTAAATACACGTAAGAGCACAAAGGGAACCCCGTTTTAACTTAATAGTAGAGAAAGCCAAATTTGTTTATGAGGAATAAGCTGCAAGTATTCGTACTGTATAAAGTTTACTTTGGAAGTAGTAAATACTTGCAAGCATACCCTCAGATCAGTGAGTATACCCTCTCATTTAGGAAGTATTTACTTGCAAGTAAAGAGTTGCTTTTATTCACAAGTTTACTTGGAGGGATGAATACTTGCAAGTATTTACTCACAAGTAAATACTTGCTGTACTTGTTTTTATTCACTCGGCCCAATATTCTCACAAGTGTAAGCTATGATAAAAACGCAACCATAAATATTGATCTTGGCATGTCTCACCATAATGCATTATTTTACAATTGCCTAAAACCTTAAACTTGCCTGAAAGCATATACAAAAGAATTCGCTTTTTTCCTATTAAAAAAATTACCACTTTTTATTAATTCATTAAGTGACAATATCAAGTCTTTAGCTCTAGACAAATCTGTGAATGACAACTACAAATCTTTTTTATCTAGTTTTACACTTTCACTGAATTAAGTTTATCCTGTGAAATTAATTAAAGAAAAGAAAAACCAATGTAAGGAGAATTGGATTACTCAGGGTATAATGATTTCTTCAGAGACTAAAAGAAGATTACACCAATTGGCAAAAACATGTAGACAAAAATCATTTTTGAACTATGTTAAGAACTATAAAATAATTTTCAAAAAGGTAGTTTTGCAGGCTAAGAGATTGCATAATAGTAATTTTATTATTAAATCTTGTAACAAGAGTAAAGCTATGTGGGGAGTTGTTAAAAAAGAACTGGGCATTCAAGTAAAAACGGAGACTACTACTAAAATTGATGTTGGGGATAGGGTGATAAATGAACCCAAAGAAATTGCAGAATATCTTAATGTTCAATTTTCCAACATAAAGGAAATATTAAATGTGCCAAATGTCTCTTTCATCAATAACAAGTACATCAGTCAAAACTCTTTAGAATCAGACAATACAGATAAATTACAGTTTTTGGCTTTTACCAACAAATTTGGAGTTAAAAATGCTATCTTAAGTTTAAATAATAGTAATTCTTGTGGTTGGGATGAGATTCCCACTAAATTATTGAAATGGACTGCTGACATTATTTCTGATATTATAGCTAGACTCATCAATCAATCATTTAGTGAGGGTGAATTTCCAGACTTGCTAAAATTGTCTGAAATCAGACCAATTTAAAAAAAAGGCACACATAATAATAGTCAAAATTACAGACCAATTTCTTTACTCAGTAATGTATCTAAAATTTTTGAAAAAAATTATTCATCTTAGAATTGCAAACTACCTGGAATGTAACTCAAAACTGTGTCAAGAGCAGTTTGGTTTTAGAAGAAATCTAAGCACACATAATGCTCTTTTTACTTATATTAGTAGTGTCCTTGAAGCTCTGGATCAGTCACAGTTGACTGCAGGAGTTTTCTGTGACTTATCCAGGGCTTTTGACTGTGTGGACCACAGGTTGCTGCTGATCAAATTGAAGAATATTGGCTTGGAGGGAATGGCACTAGAATTATTATGATCATACCTATTCAATCGAAAGCAGCGCACAATAGTAATAAAAAAATCAATAAAATATTATTCTAACTGGGCCAGCGTTACATATGGTGTTCCCCAAGGTTCCATACTTGGGCCTTTATTATTTATTATATTTATTAATGACTTGCCTAATTGCCTTTCCACAAATTCCTGTGCTTTCACTTTGTATGCCGATGACACAACTGCTCTTTTAAGAAGAAAAACACTAAGTGAACTTAAATTAACTTTTGACAGCACAATTAAAAAAATCAATGAATGGTTTGAGAGTCATGGCCTGAAATTAAATGAATGTAAAACTAACATTCTTCAATTCAAACTCAGAAACAGAGTTACAGACACCACAATCAGTAATACAAAAATTGTTAAGTTTTTAGGTCTAAATTTAGACTCAAAATTAAGTTGGTCTGATCACATTCATCATCTAAATAAAAAATTAAGGTCAACAAGGTATTCACTAAGTGTACTATCCAAGGTCACGCCGCTAGAAGTCTGCTTGACAGTATATCATGCGTATGTTCATTCTTTGCTGGCTTATGGCGTCACTCTATGGGGTAACTCTGCAGAGGCCAAGAAAGTGTTCACTTGCCAAAAGCCAATTCTCAGAACTATTTTTCACCAGAAGTCTAAAAAAAGCTGTAAACCTTTTTTCAAAAAAACATTCCATTTTAACATTACCTTCTCTTTATATATTTGAAATAGCAAAGTATGTTCATGCAAATCCTTTCTTTTTTGAAAAATATAAAATAAATCATAACTATCAAACGAGAAATAATAACAAAACTTTTCAATATCCCAAACATTCGCACACAAAATTTGAAACTGGGCCTCTTTACATGGGATTAAAAATCTACAATCATTTACCTAATTCATACAGAACTTTATCAAAATCAAATTTTACATATAAACTGAAAGAGACTTTGAGCCAAAAAGCGTATTATAAAATTCAGACGTTTTTTAAAGATAAATTGTAATAGTTTTTATTCTTGTCAGGGTATAATTAGATTAAGGAACCTAGATATAAATTAGGTATAAATTGACCATGTACCAGCTTGGGAATTACTTTTGTAATTATTGTATCAGGCGTTAGGTACAATAAAGCTTTGTCTATTGTCTATTGTCTGTCTTGTTATTAATGTATTTGCATATGATAAGTATAAGTATGTATGGTAGAGATTTGATTATTCAACCTGAAGCAACAGTGGAAAGATTGGAAGGCGGACACATCTAATTTCCCATAGTTCCCTGTTCACATTGCGACTGAGATATAATGGGTATCAGAGAGATATTCAGTTTAAAGAGCTGAGAATGTAACTGTGTGATATTTTTATCTGTGATTAAATTCAACTTTGCAAAACCAGAGAAAACGTACAGTACAACCTCACTAATCTGTGACCAGGAACCCAGTTATGGTCAATTAGGAACAATTAAATGGCCAGATTTTCCGAGGGGCATACTAAAAGACTAAATCAATTACTTAACTGACATTCATTGATCGCACACAATTGTGTAAGATGATAATAATGTTCCCGTAACCACAGGAGACATTTAAGATTATTTCACGATTGCGGGAGACGATATCGATGTTTCCGAGACCTTGGGACATGTTCAATACTGGGACTCGATACAGGGGAGATGGTGATGCTTCTAAGATTGTGAGGTACGTTTAATGTTCTGTGATGATCACGGGAGACAACGATGATGTTTCCATTTCCCCAGGAGATATTCAGGAGTTTGCCGAGATCGCAACCTATCAATGATAAAGCTTTTTTAATTGCTGGAGGCAGTGATATTGATCAGGAGATGCTGAATATTTTTCCTGCGATTGTGAAAGTTGAATGTGATGTCAACACTCCTGCAGACATTCAGAATTTTACTGTGATTGTCGAATACAAAGATTTTTTCCTTGAGTATGTGATTCGTCTAGGATATTTCCTCGATCGTGAAAGACAATAAAATGCTTCTGTGATCGCGGAACAACACAAAAACAACATGCGGGCATATACAAGATTTTTGCAGCAATTGCGGAAGATAGTGATGATATCCACATGTCCATGGTAAATAGACACAATATTACCGTGGTAACATTTCATCAATATGACACAGTCAGATTAGGCAAGGACTAACCAAGATCGGATTAGATGGGTTCTACTGTACAGCCTAAAGTCTGGCATATCTTCAGAGTCCAGTTGAGGGCAGCATAAGAGGTTGTCCTGACGCACACGCGGCAGTTAACAGTCATGCCTCACGGAAATAGCAAATGACCTTACATTACTTGATCATTGACCAATAATCAAATTGTTTAAACTACTGTAAAAAGTTTCAGTGAATGTAAACTTGATAATATTAATTAATATTGTTTGATTTTAGATAAAACCCCTCACCCCCTTAAAAAGTTGACATGATTTTTTCAGTGTGAAAAAACTAGATTAACTATAAATTTTTGTAATATATATTTTCAGGGCTGTGGTTCAAAACCTATTTTTCCATGTGCCATATATTGGTTAACACTGGTTTACTTTCTTTGGTTAACATGTCTGTTCCTGCTAGGTTAACTGGGACAAAGAATTGGAAGAAGAAGCAGAAAGGTCGAAGAAGAAGAAGCGTGAATCCAAGCTTTCTTCGGCTGTAAGTAATTTCTTTTTTCTTAGAATCCATGTTTTTTCAGACTACCTTAGTGCAAACATTTTTGTCTGTCTATTTAAAAGAGTTTGATTAGGCCTATATATATCTATTGTTCGATGAGTAGCTTGGGCAGAAGTCATCAAGAAAATCCTTTGGAAATCACCCTGTAAAGAATGATCCGAAGAGAGCAAAAATTGATTTTTTAGCAGTTCAAATCTAATAAGGACTAGTTGTAAAAGTATCACCTGCGGCTAAATCGTCTAAAACTTTGAAATAAAACAGGAACTTTGATGTCATTTGGGGCTGAATACCAATCCTAGAATGATGAAATTTATTATATTTTGTAACTGTTTTGTTATTGTCTCACATATGATGTATTATTAATTTTTCCTCATATAAAGCGCCTTGTTAACTGACAAATTATGTACATCACTACATTTGTCAAATTACAATTTCTAACATGTTCTGATTGGGATTTCAGCCGGTCAATGTTCCTGGTCGCAAGCTTGACAACGTTATACCGCAGCCGCTGCCCAAGCCATCGACTAGCCCCAAACCTCAACGGCCTGTTCAGTCCAGCGCCCCTGCGGCTGCGCATACCCCTGCTTCAGCAGACCTGCTTGCTCTGGGTAACTAAAACAATAAATACATCTCTATAGCACAGCTGTTGTCAAATTCACTTAAACTTTTGTTCTTAACTTATTCCAGTAACTCTGGGGCACTTGTCCAGTGGTTAGAATATTGGACTTTTGAGAAAAAAACTGTGTGATGCAGGATCAACGTTTCATAATAACCTCCCAATAAAAAATTAAATCAGAGACTTCCAAAACAATATTTAAACAAAAAAATTTTAAAGATTTTTCATCAGCAAGGCTATTTTTTCTTTTGAAGAGTTGAATAGTCTTTGAGGTTAAAAATAAATTCAACATATGTGTAATTTTTTTACAATTGTATTCATTTTGTTTGGCGTTGCCTTTGTCTTGTTATAAAAAATTAAGTTTGTGAAATTTTGTTTTTATTTTGTTATGTAAGAAATGTATTTAATAACTATTACTTGCAAGTGTTGACACTATTTAATGTTTCTCTGTGTACAAGAGATTAATCGTTTTGAATTGATTTGAATAATGTTTCCGTGACCGCGGGAGACAACGATAACATTTCTGTGGCCGCAGAAGACGTCCAGGATTTTGACGCAATCCCAGAAGACTAAGATGGTGTTTCCGTGACCGTGGGAGACGACGATAATGTCACCAAACCGAGAGAGATATTCAGGATTAAGCAAAAAAAAAACTAAAAAAGACGATAAAACAATCGCTCTATTGATGATCATTATTTTTGCAACACTATCTCATTAAACTTTGGAACAATTAGAAATATACAAATGTGATGTGAGAACAATCTAAAGTTGTAGGCCTTGAACTGGTTATAGTTTATAGCTAAACATGCCTGCAGTAACATGGAATCTCCTTCAATATCCAGGAAAAACCTGGAATTTCACTTTCGAAAATTAGTATACACCTATTTTGTTATTGAAAATCCAATGTTTAAAATTTATTTTTAACATTTACAGACACACCTGTCCAAGAGAGCAGCCCAGCTGTTGGTAGTGGGGGAGGTGGAGGGGGAGGGACGGACGACTTTTCGTCATTCCTCTCAGCACCCCCGACGCAGACACAAACCTCCACCAGCCAATCACAACGCAGCGCTGAAGAAGACAGTTTCTTCAACCAGCCACAAAGTGGTACCCCTGCTGCGCCGGCCCCTGGCACTAAACTCACCACCGACAGTATTCTGGCGCTGTACGGCAAGAGTCAGCCTGCGCCGGCTCCAACCCACAACCCGTTCCCTCTACAGGGTAAGTTGTGTTACTCACTGAGCTATAATTCTAACTGGAGGTAGCACTGAATGTCAAAGATGCGTGTCGCCAGCCGCCATGTTTGCGTGAGGTGTGAGTTATAAGAAGCCCTGTTATTGGATAAGAAAACTCACTGCTATACCAACCTAGTTATAGAAGCCATGTTATTGCTATGATAAGAAAACTCGCTGCTATACCAACCTAACAAAATCAGCGACACGCTTTTGACAAATTTATGCCATGGCAGTGCTACCTCCAGTTATAATTTTAGCTCAGTGGTGTTACTATGTGGCATAAAAACAATGGACAATGTCAACAAGAGAAATGATTTGCCAGTGAGTCTTTCACAATCTCATACAAATTATTCATGGAGATTCAATAGTAACCCTTGTTTTTAAGAAAAAGTCTTTTAAAGAGGATTTTTGTACGTATTTGAACCGTCGCAGGAAAAGAGATTAGAGACTTTGACAGCAGCTTATACATAATAACATTGAGAGAGATTAAGTATATCTATTTAGATAGAATTTCTAGAATCTACAGTTTTGTATTCATACAAATTTCCTTTAACGCTACTGATACAATTGTATACATAAGTCTGGAGTTTCTTGGAAAAAGGCTTACAATTACAGCACTAAGTAAGAAATTCTTTTCTGAAGGTAAATGGCTCCATAACTTGATCCTGAAAAGAAAAGTATGCCATTATGCAATTAGATATTTAAATAAAATGAAAAAATGCAGTTTTCATCTTTACTAGTGTGTATTTAAAGCTTAAAGTGAATGGAAGGTATGTGTAAATTGGAGTGAGGCCTATGTTGGTTTGTTACTGATAAAGATCAGCTGTTTCTTAGGCAGGACCATTTGATCATGGACAGCTGAGTCCAGTTGCCAACCATCATTAACTTACCGTCATTTCTCAGGATGGACCCTTTAATTTGTAGACATGCTCTACAAACTCACTCAGCTAACCAGAATGGGTAGGGTATGCAAATTTCCAATGTGAGCAAATGTAGGGTCAAAAGATAATTCTATTTTGAATATTTCATATTCGTATTCAATAGTTTGTATGATATTCTGTACGTCTGTTGCAGGAGGGTTCATGCCAGTAGCGCCGCCCGGTGCAGCGCCGGGAGTCACGGGTCCAATGCCCATGTTCCAGCCTTCACCATTCTGTGTCGGCGTCCCTAACGGAATGATTCCTCCTGCCCAGGTTCCTGTTCAGGTAATTTACAAAAGTTTTCCACTGCTATTTTTGGTTAATTTTCTTACTCTTGAAATAACACAGATTGTTTTTTCAATCAGTGTTACTAAGTTGTAATAATACATTAAAAGCATTTAAGATATTGCCCTTCAAGGGTGCCCGCATGGTTTCTTTTCATTGGGCTGGGGAAACGGCATATCTGTACCTCTTTACAGGTAGATAAGGTTCCAAATTTCAACTAAGAGTTATTTTTGTGATTTCTCAAAACCTAAATTTTTTATAATTTTAAAAATATAATATAATTTTTATCTATATTATAATATCGGTATATGATTTTTTGCACCGACAATATTATTTCAGATTTTTAAGTTACTAAAACAAGGTTCAATGCTTATATTTTAATCAGAAGTAACACTGACTGCCTAAGCACTAATGCTACAGTCAGAAATCAGATGTACAGTAACGGCAAACTCGGTTGTGGGAAAACGGCGGAAACATAATGCATTATGAGGCGTTTATCAAAAGCAACATTGCTACCAAAATGTAGATTTAAATAAATTAATATGTATGTTTATTTATTGCAAATTAGTACGAGTTATCCGGAGATCTGACTTAACAACTCTGAGCTATCTGTTATCTGGAGGACCTATGTAATTAATTATGTAAGTCTTAACTTTCATTTAAATCATTATCTCTCATGTGTATAAACAAATCTTTTTGTACCTACATCCCAGTATCATACAAATATAGGTGGACGATTCATACTAACTGTTTCATAATACTGAGATACTTAATGTCTGAGACTAAAAAGTGTCAGATTATTGAGGGTCAACTGTACATAAATGGTGGCTTCTTTTTACCATTCATCTCAATGAGAATTGAGGATAGCCTATTTAATCATTTGTTGAGTCTCGAACACAATCTGTTTCAGGGATCAATGTTTCCTCCAATGGGAGGTGTTCAAGCAACGAATATCAATCCAGCATCAAACCCTTTCTACAACATGGCTGCTACCGGGAGTGCTGCAGTGCTGCCTCAGACAGCTCCTGTCAACTACGCCTCTTCTGGCAACCGAGTGAGTATTGTCGTAGACAAGTAGGACGGTCTTTTTAAATTCTGATAAATTTAAAATGTGGATCATTAAAAAAAATATGCCGGCACCACCCATAGTCACTGGGCGACAAAATCTCAGAACTGGGTGACACTTGTGTCGCCCAGTTAACATGTTGTTTTATGCCCTGGACAGCCGACCTGTGCGTTTCGAGCATATCCTCTTGTTTGGTCAAGAAATTGCCTTAAAGTGTGTTCATAATTCGAAAAAGGCCAGTAACAAAGCTACAAAAGGCATCTCACTCCATTCTACACTCATATTTAGGTTAAAATACGCTCATAGGTGGCGTCCCCATCTCAAATGAATAATTAATATGGTAGATTGTATCCTCTTCATTTCCATGTTAATTATTTATGTATCAAACAATAAGCTGAGCAATATTTTAGAAGATTTTTAGAACTGCTATACAAATTGTTTGGTCATATAAATTTACTGTTAAATTTATTAATTTTATGTTTATATATTTTTCAAAAACTGCATCTGGTAGCTGTTTGAGCCATTTTAAAGACAATTGTGTAGCATAGTGTTGAACTGAACTACCCTACAAGTGGGCCGATAGAGGGGCGTGCCGGGCTCTAGGTGAAAGTTAGCTCACCGGCCAAGAACGAAGTGGCAACGTCGCACCCCCTACCTCTTCAAAGTCCAGTCCTATTCTGTAATCTATTCCACTATAATATATGATGTAATCTGTGTGAAAGTTAATCTTAAACTAATTATTTTTTTTTGTGACAGCTGACCCAACAGATGGCAGGACTCAACCTCGGCACTCCGATGGTCCCTCCGAACCCTTATCAGCCGACCATCCCTCCTCCCCTCTGGCAGTAACCTCGTCCACTACGACTACGATGCTCCGATCTCTCCAGCCCATAGACGCTGTCATATCAGTCTTTACTTTCCAATCAATTAAATATTGTTTCGATCATTCTATTGAAATCAGTGTACTCTATCTGTTTTGGTGCATAGATAGTTTCGGTCCCGTGGCGTCAGGCTGTTTAAATGTTTAAGTCATTGTAATCGTATAAGATATAAAAAAAAATATTTGTTGTCTTTTAAAAAAAGATGTATATGAGATGAGTTTATACAGCGAGTGCAATACGGTAATGTTCGATATTGTTATTTATAATTTACAGTAGATAATTTTTATTACTGTCAATTAAGTGAAGCTTAACATTAATTGTTGTGTCAATTAATGAATAAATCATGTTAATTGATTCTAGATGATTCCTAACTAAATCCCAAGTCTTTGATGTAGCATTAATATTAGTTACAGTTAAGATTTCTTTGTTGCTTTCTGTCTGGACTAATCAATTACTTGAGTGCATTGACTATTGATACTCCTCCAAGTAGATCTCTCATCCTTATGCAACAGCTGAAGAAAATTTTATTGTTAGTTCTGTACGGTTTATGTAGAGGTCGTGTTCTGTTTACATTTTGTTTCCAGTTATTACAGTCATTTAAAACCTTGTTTAACCAAATAATACGATCTAATCATAAACAATAACTTGTCTCCTAGTTATATTACCAAACAGTAAAGCACAAATCAAGAAATTGACCCTAAAATGATATAAACAAAATTTTGTCGATACTAGCGTTCAGTGTCACCGTACATGCACTAGACACGAAAAACGTGCTTCAAAATTTACAATGGGATGACAAGTCTACTTGTGTTGGTTAGTCTATGCTATTGGCCACTGAAGTAGACATCCAATCTATATGGACCAGCTGTCGCCAATTTTTTTATTAAAAAGAACATAGTTCTGTGAGCCAGTGTCTAAAATTCTATATTCGTCCTATTTTACCGAGATAGTTATAGGTCATAACAGATGCTAAAGCATAAGTCCAGGTCCATATGACTATGGCAACTAGCACCACATCTTCTCGAGCTCCTGTTCTTCTTCAGAGCATACACTCGTCTACTGTGGATCTAAGCCTAGCTACCATTAGATGTCTACCACTCAATAATCTAGGGGGAAGCTGGGGGACACTATCAGCTATCAGGTGCCGGATGTGGTCCCACGGAGATGCCTCCGCTGCCTCTTGAAGTCTTGCTCTAGTGGGTACGGTGGTAGAGTGCCTGAACACGAGAGTTCCTCGGGTACCAAAGTGATTCCGTCACATGTTGAAGAGCCTTGCTATGGATGACGAGTAGCTTCTGTCCTACAGGTCAGATGGTAACATGCAGGGTCTGTGTATGTGAGGATTACAATAAGTTAATATGTCATCCTATCAGTTTCACTTGGTTGATAATCGCATATTAAGCAGGAATTAGTGATTTACATCAGTACAATCAACTCTTGTCAAGTGCACATTGGTGGCTCACGTCTACATCCATTTTGATTTTAAAAACTGGCGACAACTTTGACACAGGGATGTCTAGTTGTATCAAGTCAAAGCTTGAGGTATATTTCATACTCAAGTGTCGAGGCAGAAGACACCTCGCTGGAAGCATTTATCATACCTGTTGTTTGTTCGAAAACTGGAAGTCAAATTCCTGTCTTGTAAAATCAGAAGCTTACTTTGGTGTGTGCTTCGTGTTAGTTACCTTTCATTTCAGGTATACCTTTGTCTCCAGTAATTTTTTAAATTTGAGCTCTGTCAATTTGAGTATCCACCAGCAAAATTACACAATAGTTAACAAAATAGTATTAAGGCCATCTGCATTATTTGAACAGGAACAGTTTAAAAACTGGGCTCAACTGATCAATAGGTGTACGCATGGGATTCAAATCCATACCAAAAGTCTAGCCCAGTTTACACCTTTTGCACTGTTGAAATGTTGTCAGAGACCTAATTAATTGTTATTCAAACTAGCTGCAAGTAAATTTGCCCTAGTGGCTGACGGCTGGGTAAAACTCACCACATGTAAGTTTAATTGCAACTACAACACAAAGATTGTTGACTTTCAGCTGTAAAATGTGAGATTTATCAAGCACTTAAAATAGTCAAGAATGTCTAATGACCCACTTTCACTTGTATTTTGATTATTTTGAACATTACTTTTCGCTACAATACAAAGAATGAATGATTATTTTTTAATTAAAAATAGACGTTGGATTATTTTAGAAATATAGCATTTTCTTTAGGTTAGGAGGCCTTCATTTTTAAGTTCAAATTTACATTGATAGTACAGTTTTGGTTGTTGCGAATTGAAACAGTTAAAGAAACAAAAACAAACATTTGTTTTATATGACAGCCAAATAAAAAGCAAATAAAGTAGCTAACATTGCTTTTGCTTGGCAAACATTCATTTGGTAGGCTATAGTAAACAATGGAATTATGAATTTTCCTAGATGATAAAGATATAACGAAAACAGGTGATTTCACAATAGTAGGCCTATATCTATTCCAGCAAAAAATTTTATGTCTCACTGGCCAGATAAATCTTTTTCCTAAGAAAATGGTTTTTGTCAATACAGAAGTGGATAAAACTAGCAAATTCAGCACGTACACAGAAAATGTAAATGTTATTGATGTACTAGTCAGTGTAGCAGTGACATAGGCAGGGGGATAAAATATATTTTTATCCCTTTAAGTCTTAAATATGTTTATTTGTTAAATTAAATGTAAAATTATGTAATCATACTGTATTGAAGTTGGGGTTGATTATTTTCAATGCCAAGAGAGCTAAAATAGACCATTTTAGGGCCTATATTTTAAAAAAATTTCCCAGACCCCTTTTTATCTGGGGGGTATTCCAGACCACCCCGGTCGGTCGACCCCCCCTATTTTGAAATCCTGGCTACATCACTGAGTTTATTATTTTATTTATAACCTAAATTTGCATAGTGTAATGGGAAAAAATTCAAGAAAACACAATCAGTCATGTCAGTCATTTTTATTAACAAAACTTCGATTTGAAATTATTAGGTCTGTGTTGAAAGAATATCTATCAATGATGAAAAAATTATAAATGATAACTAAGTATTACAATTATGTATGAAATGGTTATTGAATTATTACAAATATGATGAAACATTAATACCAAATTCATTAAATGAAACAATACATCTTGTGACTTCAGATTTTTGGAAATGCAATACAAAAACTTTTGAACTTTTACAAAAAGACGCATCATCTCCATTTAACCATTAACAAAACTCCTTTCTTCTCTGGTTATACATTCACACACGGACACACTCACTGACTCATAAACCTTTCAGGCTCCCACTCACACATCAGTCATATTTATAGACTATGTACAAAACTTAGAAAAATACAAAACTCGCTTTAACATCGCATCACTCCGATCTATCTTAACATTTGGAACAGAATAATATACATATCCCTCTTCTGTTTTGTACCTTTTGGGATAAAGGCTAGGCAAAATATAATGAGGATAGTTTATAAATTGAGTGGTTAAAGAAAAACTAGAAACGGAGAATTTGGAATTTGCAAATAAAAAGTCAATAAATTGGAATTTTAGCACAGATCCCAAAAGCAAAAACAGCACCCGAAAATCGAGTTGCTACTTACTCTAATATTTGTACGATAGACTTAACAATACTTGATATACAGTCGCCTCAGTACAATAAAGCTATCAATTTTTTCAGTAACTATAAGTCTACTCCATATGGCCAATTTTGAAAACAAAGCCAATCCAAGAGGAAACCGTAACGGCGATCGTCAAGAGTCTAGATTAACTAGATTCTAAACCACATGGACGTTGAAACTACGGGTCAGAGAATCCAGCAAAAATAAACTATACCCTAGTTACATTCAGTCAGTTTTTTATACCAAAGTTAATTACAGACTCATATAACTAACAATAAAGAAAGCCAATTGCAGTTAAGACACAACTGCTATAAACAAAATACTTTTTTGGCATGAAAGATTTGTCGAAGGTGGGATGGCGTGATGACTATCCGCTAAGTGTGGTGATGATCGGGGGCATCTCTTGAGACTTGGCTAGCAGACGACGCTGGACCAGACGGGATTCTGACGGTGGAGACAGTCCGAAGGGCAGACCCTTGCCTCCGTTCTCCACAGCCAGGTACTGGTCCACTACAGAGTCCCCGGTCATGCTGAAGTGTTGCAACACTACTCTGTTGCAAGCCATCGCAGACTCCGCAAAAGCGGACAACTCTCTGGCACTGTTGTTCCTGCAAACAGATTAACTTCATCAGGGTGGAATCTTGAAATATCAAATTACTTATCAAATCATGATTCAGTTAGATATACATGATTTACAAACTCAGTCCCAACTCTTTTTACTCATAATTGCACAAATGAAGGATAATCTGTAGACTGCAATAATGAAGTTTTAAATTATTTGTTAATAGATCAGAATTCCTAAAACTTTTAAATCATTTTGATACTTTCAAGTTATAATCTGTTAAGGTCCTTAAAGAAAACTCAGGAGTTAAAACTGAAAAATAATTATTCCCAGCTACAAGCAGGCTTGCAGGGAGAGAGAAAGAACACTATCCTCCCAATACATACCTCCGAATGACCTGAGGGGTGGTGAGTGCCCTGCCCTGGGTGACCTGATGTTGTTGCAGCACCCACGGATGTGACATTACACTTGCCGCACTCAGCCTCAGCGACGCCTCCTTCACCAGCAAATTGGAGATCAGGTCCTTGGCGTCGGACGAGATCTCCGACCACTCCTTGTCCGGAAAGTCATAAACGCCCTCTTGGATGCTTGTGAACAGCATCTCTTGACAATAGGTGCAGTTCTCCCCACGCTCCCACCCGCAGTCGCGGCCACACTGCCCGTAGAACGGAGGGTAGCCACACAGCAAGATGTATGCTATCACTCCCAGACTCCAGAGGTCGCAGCGCTTGTCATAAACACTGCTCGCCTCGCCGACAAACGCCTCCACCACCTCCGGTGCCATGAACTCTGCGGAGCCGACCGGTGTCAGCAGCTGAGGCGTGGCCAGAGGAGACGACAGTGAGCTGTTGAACTTGATGCCTGAGCCGAGGTCAAAGTCGCAGATCTTCACTGGAGTCAGCTGGTCACGGTGAACGCACAAGATGTTCTCTGGCTTGAGATCGCGATGGGCAATTCCTGGAAAATGATAACGTAAATTAAGGATTAAGTAGTAATTTTTCATTTATGTATGACATATTTCAAGCAAGAAGACAACATGATTACTTTGTGTTCAAAAAGCTTCAATTCTCTTATTTAATAACCAAAAATTAAATTATCTTTATGGACACAAAATACTTACAATAGTATAAGAAAAACCTCATTGAACTACTTTCTGAAATTTTTTGGATTCGTATGAAAACAAAAGGTAACCAAAACTTAGGATAATCAATTTAGCTATTTAAATGCTAATTTTTTTACTTTTATTTAATTACTTTAAATTCACGTTTGGCCTCGTTATCCTTTAGTCACAATGAGGATACTCGTTTAATTACCTTTAGAATGAAGGAAGTTAAGAGCGCTGGCCAAATCTCGCACAATCATGCTCGCTTCTCTCTCGGTGAAATGGATTCTCTCCTGAATCCTGGAGAGAAGCTGACCTCCCTCCACTTTCTCAAAGACGAGGTAGAACCTAAGGAAAACAAACATGGGCTTAACACTCCACTTAACTTGAATGATAAATTGACAGAATAATTGTCTAGGCTGAATCTCTCTCTCTCCATCCAGGGGAACAAGTTCAGTACCTACTAGACTATGTCTCTTTTTTTAAGATTGTATATTCAATATTCTTGAGTTAGAAATAACACAAAATCTTTGATAGTTGGGTTGAGAACAACTATAAATAAATCTGATTAATTGCCAAGTAGAGTCTACACTCCAAAATCCTATTTTTTAAACAAAATCAGGGTTATGCTTCAAGACCATTTATCATCTTAAAACCGCTGTTGTCTAATTTTCTCAGATAAACTAGTTGAACTATGGTCTTTTTTTTAATATCCTCATTAAAATATAATCCAGGAGTCTATAATCCAAATTACCTTTTGTCGTCCTCGAAAAACTCAAGCATCTGAATGATGTTTGGATGGCCCTGGCAATGGTGGAAAGTCTCGACCTCTTTGAACACCCTGGCGCGAGAATGGCCGGGGACTTTCTCAATGATCTTGACAGCGTACTCCAAGTCAGTGAGCAGGTTTACACACGTCTGAACTGATGCGTACGCTCCCTTCCCCAGCACCTCACCTGTCAGTCTGTACAAATCTGGAACAAACGGACAAAAACATGATTTTTATTGCCTATAAATACATATTGACTTGATTTATAAAAATCCTTTTGGTTTAAAGGTAAGGAGCTACTCCTACATGATCTCGAAGTTTCATTAGTACCGGTAGAAGATTGGTTTTTGTTCCATTCCATTAAAAGTCTAGATTAGTTTTCTTTGGTGATCTTTTACAAGTGTCTTTACTAGAATAATATTTGGTCAAAGGATAAGATAGGCACATTTAATTAGATATGATTCAAAGACGTTGAGCATAACGAACATGTGAATAGATAAGTTAATTAAGGCTACTTGTTAATTTTATTCTTACAGAATAGCTCATGAAAAACTGTGCATATAGGTAAAAATTCCAACTATTGCCTCACCTTAAGCAAACAAACATTATAAACGGTGTTGAGCTTTCAATTAACTTAGTAAGCAGCATTTTGTTGATAAACGTTTAGACCAGAAGGAAAGGAAACCATTTCTTATGACTTACACCTAACGTTTTCAACCCACATTGAAATGTCTTTTAATTTACCTTGGAAACAGGATGAGACCAGACTGGTGGTTGTTCTCTTCTTCCTGCGTTTCTTGCACGCCTCCTCCTTGCGTGCAGCGACATCATTGGTCTTGTCTCGCAGGACAGAGATAACGTTGTCTGCAACAGACAAACCCACAACTTGAAATTATGTACTGTAGCGCATCAGGCAACATACATGAGCAAAAATACGATTTTCTAGAATGATTGGGCTCAAACTTGCTCCTAAATGCTATTTTCCGAGAGTATTTTCCGACAATTATTTAGGTATTCGAGTTCTGTGGGCCTATTGCAGTTTTGTGAATACTGTAATTGGGTACTTTCCTGTTAAAGGATTCATTCATTATTATCAACAAGTTTTTTTTCGATAGCCTATTTATACCTGTTATTTTCCCCCTTTATATCCATATTCCTGATATTCCTTTATACCCATATTCCGATCCACATTCCTTCTGTTATAATATCTTCATACACATTCAAAATTACATATTGATAACTGACCTTTTTTAGGCAAAAACAATATATCTATACTTATTTAATACGCAAGCAGGATTTTTGTGACAATTACTCCTCCGGAACTAATGAACCGATTGACATGTTTTTGGTGTCATTGGAAAGAGCGTAACGTGAAGTTGTGCAGGAAACTGTCTTTTTAGGGAAATAACTAGAGAGTGAGGCCCTGGGGCCCTTTAAAGTTTTGTATTTCTCCATAAGATTAACATGGGAAACAAACATTGTTTTGAAACTTCAGCTGTTGTCAGAAATTAAATATTAAAAATTGGTCTCCATGGAAGCATGAGAAAATTCACAATGTTTACATTTGCTTTGACATTTAAATGTAAACAACCAGAACCGTCAAATGTCTATTTCACAATTTCAGACAGCTGATCCAAAAAATAAAACAACTATGTGGTAGGTTTATTTATTTAATCTTAAACTTTATGATGGATTATTTATTATAAATCTACTTCAATGATTATGAAACATATTTTTCCCGTTGCGAACCAAAAATTAAAAGTGAGAAGAAGAACATTTGTTAATTGTAAACAGTCAATGTGCAAATGATCTATGTTGTATTAAAAATGGGCATAGTTTTGAATGTTGGTTTGTGTTTAATGATATAAGTTATTAATTATTGAATTTTTATTTTAATGATTTGGCATATGAATATGCTTATGATAAATAACACCATTTCAGAGTTCTTCCAGATTTTGCCTAACTCTGTTCTGTAGAGTTTAAAGTAGCCTACACCTTATTGTCTACAAATTGTCTAAATAACTTAGGTACGGTACATTATAAAAGCTGACAGCCTTTTTACGTTGACTTAAATTGTTAGCTTACCATTTCCCGTCCATGGACAGTTTGATAGTAAACAATTAACCCTTTAAACTGGAATAGGACTGTTATGTAAATTGTGAGTATTTCCATTAGTTAATAATCTTTTAGTCGACTCTTTAAAAAAAATCGGAAATTATGACTGTTATTAGTTTTTAAACAAGTCATTTGTTTATAGATAGCTCCTGTACTTCTTTGCAATTGCTCGATTTCGAGCAACATGTACACTAGTATGGATTAAGAAATGAAACTGTTCTGAACTAACCTAACATAACAAAGAAAACTTGTAGTAACATTTATAAATTTTTCTCTGACAACAGTAACTCGGTAGGCTATGTGGGAAATATCAAACGGAATTTTGAAATGTTAAAGCAAATGTGGTTAGTTTAGAACAGTTTCATTACCATATATATATTTTTTATTTTTTTTTATAGCCTGCTGAACAATTTTTACTTATCGTCGTTGTCAGCTGATAAGTTTCAATTCGTTAATGGGATCAAAAAATAAAATATCAATGTATCAAAAAAATTATCAATAATAATGAATGTTCCCCTTAACAGAAAAGTACCGTTAGTTGTAACAAAAAACTTTGTAAACTCATTCCTGTGATATTATTAAGCAAGAAATTGAAAATATTGTTAGTAAAAAGCACTATTCCAGATAGGATACTTAACACAAATGGTGTGTTATACAGCATGTTTGGAAGACATTTGACAAAGAGAAGATAAGGGTTCTCCTTAAAGACTGATGAAGACCGGAAAATTCTAAGCATCCCAAATAAGAGCCTCCAATTGCGTGTGGTAAACCAAGTTAGCCACAACATGAGGGTTAGAAGATACAAGATGTCACTGTCAATAAAAGACAAAGACTAACAAACAAATAAATAGAAAACCATGCCAGTAGACATGCGTCCTGACTTTTTATGGTGTAGATTTTTCATAGTTGATACTAATATTAGGCTACTATCAGAATTAATAAGTTAAGTTACTATTTACTAAAGAACAGTACGTTAACTAAGTTAGGCATTTATTTGTATAGTACGGTATTTTTAAATATTTCAAAATTAAGTGTGATCTAAAGTATGTTTCGGTTTGGTGTAAAACTACTGTTATAGACTTGATATCAGAGATATGTAGATATGCCCCTTTTCCATTAGGGGGACATCCAACTGGGCCTAACACCAACAATGTTTTTAGGTTGAAATGTTCGTCTTAACACTTTTACCGAAACCGTCTGACAGGCCCACGGGAATTTTCACAAACGCACGTTGGCAACACTGTTTAGTTGGGAGATTCCATTCCCCCAATACCTTCCCCTCTTTTCCTCCTCTAGGCCTACCTGTTGATATATTTGTTTGTTCATTTTGCATGGGTGCCGTGACCTTGACAGGTTGTTCATAACATGCCCGTCTCAAAAGCCCAGCGTTAGAGTATTTTAATGAGGGGTCTCACAGGCCCAGAGTTTCGGTTTGTGTGTTTCTAAGCGGGGTCCATTATTTTCAAATGGGGTTTTACTGACTGGGGGTTTCGGTAAGCGTCAGTCTGGGTAGGGTTTTGGTATTAGTGTTATTTTAAAGACAGGAAATTAAAAATTGTGACCATTGAAATAGACATATGGTACATAGGCTTAACTTAAGCTATGTTAAGTTAGGCCTATCAATTGCTATCCTTTACTCCACATACTGATTAAATAACGTAGGATTGACAATCTGATCCCTCACACTTGACCAGCATTATGAAACTTGATGAGGCACTGTTCTCTGTTAATGAGATTATAACTTAATAAAAATTATAAGAAACATGTCTTATTTATGGTCTAATCCATATTTTTCAATACTTTGTGCTAGTACTTCTATTTTAAGTCGGGTGGTTTTATATGATACCTACTGGTATTACTAAAATTCTGTCTGAAGCATAAAGTTTATACCATAGCCTATTGTAGGCCTATAGCCTACACTATTTCTGAAATGGTCTGTTGAATTTTAATCAAGCATTCACTTAATGAGTCAATAAATTTGCTAATCAGGCTAGGACAAATATAGTAATTTAGCCCATAGAGGCTATATCTAGGCCTAAGTTTTGAACGGTTGTTACTAATTTATTCGTAACTTACATCACTCGTCAATAAAAATTAAACACTTTAGTGGCTAGTTGCAATAATTTTCCAAATAAGCCTAACTTCTAATGAAATTTAATGGTTGAAAAAAATTACTACCAGTACTTGCGTAGGGCCTACTGTAAGTACCGGTAATAACTTGGAGAGTTTTGTCTTATCGCTAATTTAACTTAAGTAGAATACAGAAGAATAAGTAGAAAACAAGTAGCCTAACCAAAAGTGTAAAAATATTACACTTACGTCATTAAAAAATTGTTATTACGTAACAGCTGATGTGCTTTAAATAGCCTAAGTCTACAGTTTTACAATAGAATCGTTTTCTTATTCTCTCTGTACTTAATATGTATAAACCTATACATTGACAAGGGATAACCCTATTATTTTTATTTGTACGGTTGACAATATGGTTCAACAGATGTGATGTGATTGTTTACATTCTTGATGTTCAGATGTTTGTGCTTGTTTGTGTTCATACTTTCAGTGATTATAACGTAGTTACGGGTGTATTATTATGTTTTATAAATGGGGGGCCAAACAAACTAATTCGATCGCATATTCTCAAGTGAGATTGACAGACTTAAGTGTGAAAATGACAGTGAAAGTGACGGCGAATTGGGTGGCGTAGGCCTAGTGGTGATGAGAGGGAAAAAGAGTGTTTTACATAAATACTAGCTGTAAAACATAAAGACTATTGTAGATATAATTGTAAAGTAAAAAAATCTATGTAGGCCTAGCCTAGGGAATTAAATAAAGTAGGCCTACGGTAAGGAAATGAAAGCAATAAAAAGTAATAAAATGTTTAAGTTTAGCCTAAACTAAATTAAATTTATTCTAAAAATGTACATTTTTTTATTTTCTGTTTGAAAGACGTTAAAAAATTATTATTATTATTATTATTTTACTTGAGACATGTTTAATACAACAGGAAATTTAATTTGTATTAATTTACATAGGCCTACAATAACTTTTATCTAAGTTAACTTATTATATATTTTATCTAAGTAAAAAAAGCCAATTTTTTTTATTACCCAAGTAATGGGTTAACCTGTATTTAAGTTAATACTTTATTCTGAAATGCAAATTGAGTTAGGCCTACAGATTTTTTAACTTAGTTTTTAATTTTTTTTTTATTTAGCCTAAATTATTTTTTTTTAGTTTTAAGTTTTAATTTAAGTTTTTTAAGTCAACCTAACCCTATTACGAAGTCTGGAAATGTGTAAAAATAACAACGGATCAGCTGTCAATTAACTTAATTGATAACAAAATCTATAAATTCAGACAGGCCTTATCATCATAACATTGAAGAGAGGATAAGGAAGTTTCTAGCCTTTCCCACTCCCAGTCCCCACCCCACCAATCACTAACCGGGCCAATCATCTTGCTCCACAACAACCTTACACACCATCACAAAGAACTCGTTCTCAAACCGGTTGAAATTGAAGAAAATATAGATAAAAAGTGACGTGAATGAGATTGAATAAATCGCTATCCTCACCGTAAACTAGTGGAGGAGTTCAGATTGAAATAAAAAATATTAATCCTAGCTAACAACTTAGTAATTGCCATAAATCTGTTACTTACGGTTGGACAGACAGCCCTCAGTCTCTTCCAAAATGCTTTCAACCATGTTGAAGATTACACAGGCGATTCAGAAATAACACGAATAAGAAAATGCAGGTCGAAATCCACCGACCAAGGAACACTTTGTGAGACCTAACTTAATATCACAGCACTTTTTACGAAAATAAATAGCTATCAGGCACTAATTAAATAAAAATCAACAATTCACAGGAATCGAATATTGCTATTCTACTGAGATCAGAGCCGACACTCAATTGACAATATGCCAAAATCGATATTCAATCATTAGACTAGCTAGCACTCGGCGTCAACTTCAAACAACAGCCATCTTGTATACTCGACCAGTTGGTTCACGACGCAAATGCTGCGCTGGATACCGACAAACTGACGCGGAGGCTTGGCGAACGGGGGATATAAACGCGACCGACGACTGCGCAGTGGCAGCGTCCAGGGTGGTGGGGCTGAGGAGGGGAGGGGGCCCTCACGCCACTCTGATGTGCGCATCAGAATTGTAAAGCAGGGGCACCCTAGGTCACATGATCAAAATAGAAGACTACCATGTGATGAGATAGCGAGCGATGTGGTGCTGAGCTGGCACACACCGACCCAACACCATCGATGCCCAACACTCGGCATTAGCATTGTTATGTTCTCGGAAAGGATATGATAGGCGATATATTTACTCGTTAACTGTAATGTTAAAATACTGTCTATATTTGGGTTTCCGTAAATTTTATGAAAAAAAAAACATAATTAAATACAAGACTGCCAAAATAGTTTTAAATAGCCTACTTATCAACAACCGATGTCAACAACAGCACTCGTATTGCTATTTTGTAGAAATATGAGAGTTCGGGTTCGAAATATTTTCTGGAAATTTATCGACACAAAGAGAAAACCATTTTATTGGATTTTTGTGTATTTTATTGTAACTTGTGAAAAGAGAAAAAAATAAATAAAAAAGGTTTCAAAATAGCATCTAAACTAGCTTGATTGATTTTTTTACGATACGACGAACAAAGTAATACAGTATATTTTAAGCCATCACGGAAATAGCAGCAACCATCTCAATTGTTCTAATTCTCATCCCATAATATATACTGTAACATAAATTGTACAAACGAATATTATTTACAATTTTTCTTTTACTAACATGCAAACTTATAAATACATTTCACAATTGAGAGCCTCGAGAACATTCATTGAAACCTCTTTCGACGTTTGGCTAGCGTGGCAACTAAAAAACATCGATTAGTTCGGCACGACCCTGGATCGGCGCCAAATTTGAGAGCACTTTTGTTTTCTACACGAGCGTCATGCCGCAGCCAAACACCCTTTCGGACAACGAACAATGTAACGTAACGTAAACAAAGTAGAATCTGACTTCGTGCCAAAGGACGTAAAGGCGCTCATGGCTGACGGCACGTTTGCATCTGGTCAACAAGGAAAACTAATGACCTGACAAAATAGTCAATAATATGCTAAGTGTTACACAACCCTTTTGTAATTATAAGTAAAATTCTAGCTACAGCTGTGAAACAGATGGTCAATTGATAGCGCATTCAAGGATGTAAACAGTTGGTAATGGTCATGAAACAGTTACAGATATGTATTGATGACTATATGAAGGCAAGGTTTGACGGCACAGAAAGTCCATTGATACAGTTACACAATACGACCTTAACTGAGAAAAATATATCGCACATATTGATGTTTATTCCTTACCGAGCTTTTTTGATGAGTGACAAGTACAACCCAATACACTAGTAAACTCTGGTGAGATGGTCCTGAACTTCATCTATTTTCTTGGCTTCAAACTTTCATAGCACATGGGAAGTCTATTTCTGTGTATAGTCGGCAAGTATATCCCATGTAATTATATCTTCAAAGAAGGTGTAACAAGTGCATTATTTAACTGTCGTGCTATCGTGTATCGAGGTTGGTGTTATTGAGGTTCAACTGTAAAGACGAAACCTTAGTTTTACAATTCGTTACTTTAGAATTCAGTTAAGTGTAAAATAAAGAATTTGAGTATTTCAGGATATATTTCAAGCTAATTATTCCGGAATCACGTAAATATAGTTTCGAGATTGAACGAAATGTACTGTTTAAGGTTATATTATAATGCAGTCGACTGTTTATGATTGAAATCGTGGAAAATTGTATTAATCCATACAATGTTTTACCACTGATATTGTGTCATTTATTCATCTAATATACAACCATGTTCCAGACTAGTGACAATATTCAGGAATACGATGATTTGACAAGGCTGAACTAGTTTATTTAATTTCCTTATTACTTGACTAAGGTTTACAACATTAGGAAGCTTCAACAGAAGGCTATTTTGTTACATGCAACGCCACGATTAGATTTATTGCAACGTCATTTTTCAAGGCAATACCTGTCAATTATAGCAATATGGCAATAAGAACTCAATCACCACAACTGATAAAGAGTTGGTGATCGGGCGATTTTTCAATGTCCTGTTTAATAATAGTCTGTCGAATGTCCTGAAAATCTCTCAAAGTCTGGCCAACGGCCAAACAACCTTCCTTCAAGAACTTTTTACCCGAAAGTCTATACATAAATACTTGGAAAATGATTATGAAAACACTGTTCACACGTTTCGAAAGTGTGACATCGTTCATCTCGAAAAACATTAAACTGACTCAAATTATCGACGTTTCGGACATATTACTGCGCCCATCCTCAGGTTTTGTTGTTGTCCCACCTCCACTGCACAGTGAGTCATACAACGTAATGCTTATTAGGTGCGATCTTACTTTCCATCCCGAGGTGAACAACAAGACAATTTGCTGCGCAGTTGTAGACACAACACACCCGTAATCTCTTATCAGCGGTTGTCAAAGGAAGAAAGTCGATTGGCGAAGCTGAGATAGTGTAAACCCGCTGTAAACTTTTTAAACTGCGCACTACAATAGTCATGTAATAACATAAACGTATTCTGCTTTTGCAAGCCCCCTAAAACAATCTAACATACTGTAGATGATTTTTATAAGTTACCTAATAATTTTAAGTAGTTCGTGGCACATTGAGACTTTAGCACTAAAAATTCAGTTTAGAATCATAGAAGTCCCACTAAAGGTTGTTGATAGCTTGCACAGTTAATTTTAATTTAATAAATCATGGATATTTGAAGAAAGTATCTACATCACGAAAATAGGTACAAATTCAATTTCAAACTCGATCACCAAGGTTAGGAAAGTGGTCTTTACAATCTTCACGCCTTCTTCCATTCCTAGTCTCTATTCCGTGTCTTTTCTGATTCTAGGAATCATGTATGCCTACTTAGACGGTCTGGAGGAAACACAACATAGTCCACAGACAGGAAAATCTAATTACTGTACCAACAAATATGATTCCAAGGCGTAACAAAAGCAAAACTGCAGCAAAACATCTACTATAACAAACATTTCCACAATTTTCTAGAAGCTTGCGAGAAATTTCACAACGACGGGTAGAAAATCGATCCCAACAGTCAAAACAGGCTGCTCGCTGCAGAAGGTGCTGGGGGTTACGGAAGCGTGTTGTATTTAGGGGTGGAAGTTTCCAGGGCGTTCAGCACGCGACCCTCTCTATACTGACCCGCGCAACCCTAAAAATCGATGCAAATGTGAGGGGAAGGTCACCAACAGCCATACTCACTACAGGGATATCTCACTACAATACTTGGGATAAACGACGACAAGTCGTACCAACTACACCATATCCGTGATATCTTCTACGTGCCTTTGCTAGAGTTTAACACAACTCCCCAAGTTTTCCAGGGTCTATCCATCGCCCAGTTTGAATAAGGGTTTGCTAGCTGCATAATATCTTAAGCAATGGTCTAGCATTGTTTTTCTGCGTATTCCACTGGTACTGGGGTGGATAAATTAATAGTCCAGATATAAAGATGATTGTATTACATCAGCCAAGCCCAATATACGTACAAGTTGTTTATCATTCTTTGAGAATATTCCACTTGTCTTACTTCCTTGTTGATTCATCCATTAAACTGTTTGAACTGTATGATTTCCTTAGTTTAGTTTACAAGATTTTGCGTTAGAATACCATAAAAGTATCTCAAGTGTGATCAACACGTTTCTTCTGGTCAATATATCTTTTTAGTTACGCTCTTCCCTGAGTATTGTTAACATAATAACTTCTCAGTAAGTCAATAATTCAATTTTTCAGTGGAGGAACATACATGGTAAGTTCATTTATATTAAAAATAAATTTATTTTCTAAACAACTTTCAAATGTTTTGAAAAATAATACAATAAGTGAAACGAAAGTGAAAACACCTCAGCAAATGAGCAAAGAGCTATAAACGAATATCCATGACGTTATTTGTATCCAGGTCTCACATAGGCAACTTTTTCTACAGAAACTTTTTCAGAATATCAAGAAATAATTTTACATAACGCGAGTGTGTTTAATGCCACGTAGAAAGGTTGAATTCAACGTACGACGACTCATCTATACACAGATCACGCGGGAACGTTGGTGACATGTTCGTGAAAATTTTGAGGGTGGAGAACCTACAGGGGCCGATCTATGGATCTCTAGAACTTGGTATATACAACATGACTTGTATATCTGTATGTGAAAAAATAAGCAACACAACATGTGTTCAGCGTTCAGCCACGTGGAGTATGTTAGTTGACTCAGGTGAGAGATGACTCATCTACCATCAGATCAACGTGGTGCCTACAGTAGTATGATACACGTAGACAATAAGGGAATTGTTATGATGAAATAATGCTATTCACAAAATACTCAGCTGTTCTGTATAGTGTGTTCAACTTTCAGCAGGTTGTGTCTGTTGACTTAGGTGTGAGATGACTCATCTACCACACAATCACGTGATACATAACCATGTTGACTCACTTAGTCACGTCGCATAGTCATGTTACGGTTAACAATTTCCATCAATTGTTATAACCATGCCACATAAATATTCCATATGATTTCTCAAACGAAAGTTCAACATTGTAGCAATTTACCACAACTCTGCTAAATTCTAAACTATTCTGAATTGTATTGGTTTGATCATTGCAAATCAACTGAGTGTTCAACAATGAACAAAATGGACAATAATTCAAAATAAGTTGTAACAACAATCAATTAAAATTTTCCTTCCAATTTTAAGATGGGGACGCCACCAGGTGCGTATATTAACCTATGAACGAAGGATGAGTGTAGGATGTGATATTTGTGTAGCTTTATTACAGACTGAGAAAAGATCAGCTGTTTCATTAGCCAGGATCATCTATATATAAAGCCAAAAGTACCCATGAACTTTTGAGAAAACTACAAGTCACACCCCCATAAACCACATACTTAAAATGTTCGTCATGACGAAAAACCTTGCGTAAAACTATCCATTATGAC